ATCATAAATCAAGTTGAAAGTCTTGTTCTGACCACTTTTGGTATCCGGAAAAATCTTTGTTGCTATTTCCGACCACTTTTTGGACTTTTTGGTATCAACTTAATTTAAGATCATTTTCAGGTGGTCGGAAATTTCAGAATTTCCAGTAGTGATACATGCACGTGCATATATACACACAAACAAGTATAAAAATTTTACAAATTATTTTCAATTCTAATCAAGATAAATCACATAATTAAAACAGATGGTACATAATACAACATGCTTGATGAATAATACACCAAGTATACAATGCTCAAGCTGATTATTGTACTTCATACACGGTGGGGTACTCTTAAATCTTAATACATTGGGTAGGGGTGGGGGTACCCTTATTTCTAGTAATATTTAAGACAAGTCCAACAATCCACACGTACAGTTGAGCTAATTAATTAGTAGTTTAAGACATAATTATTATATTGTTCAACTTAACGCCTTCTCGCCGCCGTTTCTCGCTGGCAGTTGAAGAACACGGCGGCCACTGGAGAGCCTAAGTCGTTGTCGTCGGCGAATTTGCGGGTGTTGAACCGGTCCCTGGACGGCGACGAGCTCACCGTCACCGACTGCCGTCTCTTCTGCTTGTAAAGCAGAAACACAAACCTGTGGATTCCTATGTTTGGCTTTGGTGTCTCATAGCTCACTATTTCTCTTCCTGACATATATGTTCCACATGCAAGTTAATTATATATATATATATATATATATATGATCTCATGTCATCTAATTTAATATTAAGGATTAAGCTAGCATAGGATTCTAAGAAAATATAGTACCAAATGAGGAATCTGTTGTTCCTGGTATGTCTGTCACTATCCTGCACCAAATTAAACAAAGGCTAGGGTTACGTTAGTTGTTTCAATACCAGCTCTAACTAACTAACTACTAATTAATTTGCATCACAAACCAGTGCAAGTGTTCCCTCAGATATGGATCACTTGGACCAGGAACATCAGGGTCTGTCATGATCTGCCAAAACATACATACACCAAAAACTCCAAAATTAATTATATTTGCGAAACAAATGACGGATAAAATGAGACAAAAAGATAGTTACCAGGGTAAAGAAGGATCTCAAATCTCCGTCATGAACCTCAACCTTAGGTTTAGAGGTGAGTAAAGAAGGAAAAAACTCATGGCCATTGTAGACATGCTTGTTGGAGTTGTAAACCACAGACATCTTAACACTTTGGGAGAAGTGGTCAACCACATCCCCAACCACTCGACCAATCACAAGTGGGTCTGACATTTTTGCCATTATATTCTCAACAAAAACAACAACAAAACTTAGGAGCTGAGGTTGTCTGATCTGATCTGTATATATTACTATTAGCTTATTGTGTGGAGCAGAGAAGTGAAAACCACCCATATTTATAGTGCAGTCTGAAGCTATGAATTGCTTGTTTAGATAGATGTTTGAGGGGTATAGTATTCAGGTGCTGTGAGGGATTAAAATATAGGCCAGGGTGTTCAACAAGTGGGATACTACACCAAGAACAAATTAAATATAAATTAATTAAGGGGTATATATGCATTTAGCCCTAATTTTTTGGCTTTAATAGTGTATGTGTATACTACCAAAGAGAAGAGAATATATCTCTTTGTGCTTAGAAAATAATTTTAAATGGATGACGACAAAGATGATTTGACGTGTTTATGCTGTTGAGCTACATATATACATATATATATGATGTGTCGCTTTTCTCCCCCAATTGTACATACTCAGGCTTGTTCGGTATGTAGGTCGGAATTGATCAAAGCAATAATTAAGCTTAATGGAAGACAACTTTATCTATGCATGTATTCTTAATCATTAATCCCATTATTTTCCTATATTATCATAAGAGTTTTATTAAACTAATTTTATTTCTTGATAGTACATGTTGATTGCTACTTGGTTATCCCCTGTGATAGAGATAGGGGGAATGATCATTGTTAGTGTACTCTGGTAATCTCCTTCTTTTGATCAAAAATAAATAAATAAATAAATAAATAAAGCTCAAGCATCAAATCACAAGCTATATACAAAAATTCAAAGTTGAGATAACTGGATGGGAAAAAGACCGCAAATTATGCCGTTCAACCGTGGGCACCGTGCATGGTGCACACGGTTGTAAAAACGACGTCGTTTTGATTAAAAACGACGCGTCCGACTTAAAAAAAAAAAAACAAAAAAAACAAATCAGTTTCGATGGCGTTATTTTGTGCATAATTTGAACTATATATCCAGAATAAATGAACTATATATCTAGAATGAATGAACTATATGGTTCAAATTATGCACAACATAACACCGTTAATGACAATGAAATTGATTTTCTTTTTTTTTTTAAATTGGACGTCAAAATGACGTCGTTTTTGTAACCGTGTCCCAAAAAAACTATTATATATATCTTCTAATAGATTAGACCCATAATACACGTTTCATTTTAGGGAACACATCTTAAAACTTTTGAAATTATGAAAGCGCCTCCAAATTAAAAGGATTGGGGAAAGTTTTTAATAAATTTATAATAAAAAACATGTCTAATATACAAAAATAATCATATATATTTAAAAATTTTTGTACATCATAATGAAATGTCATTATTAAATATATATAATTAATGATTAATTAACATGTTTTTTATATAACCGACGTAATATGTTTATTTTATAATGTCTCTTTGAACAACGTCTTTTTTTAACTGACGTCGCATGGTCCACATAACCGGGTTAAAAGTGTATTATGTATTAGTGAAATTTTAAATACAAATTAAATAATAGAACTTTAATTTCTATTATCTAAAAACATAATAAATCTCAATCAAAGTTATATCCTTGATTTATGTCCCTCTTTTTGTATGCTAATAAATGTATACATTTTACTTTAAATGTTGTACACCTCAATAATGTTGTTAGACAAAGTTGTCCCTACTACATTCCTGTTAAACAAAACTGCCCTTACACCGTTATAACACTGTTAGTTACTGTTTAATTATAACATTGATAACTCCATCATTATTATCACACACACACATATCATTTGCTTATTCTTTAATTATCATTTTATTAAAATTATTATATTATCAATTTAATAGTTTATTATATTTTAATTAAGTTTCTATAGATGGTAAATCATATATATGTGTGTGTAAAATACATATATTATTTGTGTATATATAATTCGAATTATAATTTTTAATTATTTATATTTATCAATATTTTAATATTGAACATAAATTTTTACATATCACATGTACAAAATGCTAGTTTTATTTGATAAATAAGAATTTCTAGAAAGTAATTAGTTCCTGCCTAATACGGTAATACCTATTAATGTTGTGGGCCATCTATATTTCAAAGTACATGCATAGTTTCATTAGTGGATTTGTAAAGAATGCTTATTCCAATGTCTGCATATCTCATTTTATATTTTAACTTAATTAAATCAAGACTTATTAGCTAAGCACTTTGTCCACATATGACATCCGGGTTGGACTCTCATATGAGAGGTTGTTATTGACTACATTGTAATAGAGTCAGTAACATTCAAAAAAAAAATCAAGACTTATTAAAATTGTTTATAATTTAATTTTTTTTTGTGTTAACACATAAATTTTAATTTATATATTTAAAAAGTATACCAAAATGTCTCCGATCCTATACTTAGCTTGTTCTGTTTAATTATATATCTTTTAACACTTCTATCAATATTATTATGAAATTAAAAAAGAAAAGAAAAGAAAAGGAAGAATCTAACTATGATACTGTATGCACATTCTCAATCTACATATATACATACTAATTAAAAGCTGCGCTCCAACCACTTTACAATATTAAATGTAGTCCAATTAACCTAATCTATAGCTAAGCTAGAAGATGTATAAAGGGATTCTCCACAAACAATGGTGGAGGACTGGAGGGCTCATATATGGTGGAACAGTTTTGTCAAAAATTTCTATAAATAGAAACCTCAATCCCTCCATTTTCTTCATATTCCCATTCTGACTTTGCAACCTTAGCTTCCTTAGCCTCATTATATTTGCCCAACGCATCTAAACCTTTTCTTCTTCTGTTCCTTTCCCTTTCCGTTTTTGGAATGCATTAAGGTGTTAGTGCTCCGGGAGAATGTCGGCTCCCTTCTTCTTTTAGCGCAGCCATACATACATGGTATTGCTCGGAACCCCATTTTCACTCCAAATTTCTATGCCCCTCTCATTTATATATTACATAAATTTTCACCAATGAAAGATGTAACTGAGTATGTGAAACATAATTTTTGATGTTACGAGCTGAGGTACCATTTCTCAACACTATTGAGTTTATTCAGTATATACATACTCTCGAATAGTGACCTGCATATGGACAATTGTTTTAATGCTCTCATTCTAAAAACATTACAATATATTTTTTTATCGGCCTGCCATTGAATTACTTTTTTTTGTGTGTGTGTTACATAAACCATAGTGCACTAATGCACATTTTTATGCGTTGTTGGCCGATTCTTCACTCACACGTGTTCACGCCAAAATAAATAAATAAAATCATTATTAGTGAACAATTTATCTCGTTTTAATTGACTATTTCTGCTTCTTCTTTTCTGTTTACCAAAAAAAAAAAGGAATAATAATTATGCTTTACGTGACTGGCTTGAATTCCTGACCGGCCATGTGCGTAATTACTTTTTTTTTTTTTTTCATTATAATTATTCTTCTAGATGGACAGGAGAGGAAAAGATTCAGAAACATCGACGGCATATAAAAGACTGATAATTTTGACAATTTTTTCCTGCTTTTAAATGTCTCGTTTGTAATGACATTTTATTATGCATGTTAGAGATTGGAGGTTGTGTCTAAAAGATCAAAATGTATATAATTTTTTTTTTTATTAAAAAAAAAAAGCAATTATTTTATATTCAAACTAGAGTTTTTTTTTTTTTGAATGTCATTGGCTCTATTGCAATGTAATATCTGTTTATATACTTTCTCAACCTACTGAAACACAAAGAACAAATAACGCCTTCACTAAAGCTCAAACTTATAACCTTTCAAATGAAAGTCCAACCCAGATACCATTAGATCTTTAATTTTTTGGTTATCCCAAATAAGATATATATTGACCTTGCTTGGTAATAATAATTAATTGTTAGCGGATTGTAACGAATTTGACTAGTAATTTGTAAAAAGATGTTTGATAAAATTAGTTCTTTAGGTTAGCGGTTAACATGTAAAATGACATATAAGGGTATACATATAATGTGCGGCTCCTCTTTATTTTTCCACTTTTTTCCACATCAGTGAAAAAAAGTGGGATTTGAGCCTTGAGGAGGCTCCGTATATTTGCTTGCCCATCCATTGATGTGCGGATGGTTAGGCATTGAGCTTGACTTCTGTCATCTAGTTTAAGTTTTTTTTTTTTTTTTTTTTTTTTTAAATAAAATAAAATTATAAGGGTATTTTGAAAAAAAAAATTAATCTTTTTTTAAAATGCCAAATTGAAACGTTGCATATTGTAGTGCTTTAGATTTCCAATAGTTTAAAACAAATCACTATTCCAAATCGTTGAATAACTAAACACGTTATTTCATATTTTGACCTAAAATGACGAATCAATCAAAATTTTAATTGATTTGTCATTTACCAAACAAGCTCATTATGTGGTGCAATGCAAGCTACTCCTCTTAAACTAAATCTCCTCCTAAGTCAAGCCCCAAGTCCATTATTTTGCAATTACTACATCTTTAGCTCATCTCTCACATTTTCGGCTAGCCCAAGGTCCAAGGGCGGGATCCAAATTGTGGACCATGATCCTCGTTACAAAGTGAATCATTGATAGATATTAATTTTTAATGTATTAACAATAAAAATGTAATACACTAGAAATAAACTTTAAAAAAAAAAAAATCAGTAGTACATAGAAAGTAAAAATGAACATATATGTCAGTTTTCTATTTTGTAATATGAATCATGATCCATGATATAATGAATGCAATATCCATATTTAATCAATTATATAAATAATTACTTGATGATGAGTATTGATGAAATAATAATAATAATAGCAAAGTGCCAGGAACAAATGCATATCACTATACTAAAAGTTATAGCTAATAGCTTATACTTGCGGAAGAAAATATGTCGCACCCAATAATCTTGCTCTGATACTAATTATTAAATCAAACATTTACCATTACATCAAAAGTTATAACTAGTAATAAAAAAATGCAACTGTATTTTTTATACTTGTATATATAGCGGTGAGCACCATATTTTCATCTTTGCCACCCAACACAAAGAATTTGTAAATATATAAATAATGATTATAACTTATTGTTTAAATAAAAAATGGATTATCACTAACGAATTGAATTACTAGCTAGGTAGGAAGGTTCTCCAATAATGAACAAATGCTGTAGGACTATATATAAAATACTACAAGAATTTCTTTTTTTTTTTAATTTCATGCACTATCCCATTACAATTATATATAATTATTAACTACTTTCTATAGAGCTAGCCACTAGAGATTATGAAACAATAATTATTGGGATTAGCTAGATTTGCCCATTTAACGCAACAAAAAATAATGATTTAGTGTAGAATTATACAAGCTTAAAAATTATTAATTATACACAACATGCATGTGCAGTGGGTAGTGTACTGAGTGTTTTCAATTATTTTTTTGTTTACTTTGACTTTGTACAAAAAGCATGATGTCGACGAACACGGTAGGTTTTTTACAAGCTATTGAGTTAGTAACCATAGGGTAATAAATTTGACTACTCTTCGCTATGAGCGGCCTATTAACTTTCTTGATTTGAGTTAATTTGGACAATTTAAAATGGTGAGTTTACAATTCAGGGTTTAGGCCGTGTATACTTTTAGATAGTAATTGCAAGATAGGCTTCCTCTCACCCAAAAAAAGAAAAGGCATGCATGCTTTTTCTGTGTACAATGATGGTACGTTGGCCGTGCTAGATCCTAGCTAGATTCGTTCTCCTTGTTGCATGCTACGGAGTATTTTTGAAGATTTATAGTGATGCATTTGTATTTGTAGTACAATGATAGACTAAGTACTAGCCATATTTATAGGATCGGAACATCTACGTACTGCTTTACCTGGCCGGCCGGGTTCCAGTTTATCCATCACGGACATATATCAGACATGCAACAGTATATGTGATCAGACATCAGTGTGTTGCAATATAATGATGCTGCAACCACCTGCACAAAAACGAATAAATAAGGGCATCAACTTCAGGATTTTTCCCACCTCTGATCTAAACCGTATGTAAATCCACAAGTACTGTAATCCCCGTGCAAAGGAAGAAATTAAAGAGATGCACGAATGATCTGATGGTCACAGCATTCATCCACAATATAATATCATCTTTCTCTTGTATATATGCAGAATTAATTGTCTGTCTGCATGCAATGCAGCTTATCCTCATGCTTATTAATTCAGATGGAGCTGCAAAAAATCTGGGACGAGATGCGCTTGTTAATTATATATGTTGTTTGCATTTTGTGCAGATGCTAGCTAGCTAGCTAGAAACCCTATAATATATGGCACTGAGCTGGCAATTATACTGTTGTCTATCATGGATAAACTGATGGATCAGAGCTTGGGAGAAGCAGTAGATTAATGTCCCAAAATATGACTAGTAAATATGTAGCATTCAAGAGCAAATTAAAAAGCTCTAGTATAGGTCAGGTCTTTCCGTAAGCATTAATCGTTGCTTATGAAACTGTAAAGTGATTGTTTATTCAACTGTAAAGCTAGTGTTTTAAGTCAAGTCATCTTCTAACAAAAATTAAGAATTTTAGGTTAAGGTTTTTTTTTTTTTTTTTTAGTGACAGTCATACTCTACGGCTCGAATCAGGTCCGAATTAACTTGGAGAAATATATAGGCCATATTTGATAAATGGTTGTTAGCTGATTGAGTTAGATGGTATGACTAAGTTGATAACATTAGCTGATTATAAGAATGTGTTTGGTAAATTATTTGTTAGGTGATAGCTGCTTGATATAATTTCTTTTTTCAAAAAGCTAATTGAAAAAAAGACGAAATGTTGCTTTACAATTTTTTGAATTTTAGCATTTTAAAGTTACAAAAAGTTAATTAATTAAACACTTATATTGATTTCTTAATTAAATCAAACATTTAAAAATAGTTAAATAAATCAAAATTAACTAATAGACTAAGTATTTTATCATGGCCATAAGCAATTCAAGGCCCAGCTGCTGGTCTGAATTGGATTATTTGGATAAATATACCCAACAAAGAAACATGGGTCCGCTGATTTCGCATCTTCATCGTACTCTGTCGTGGGCCGACCAAATTTCAGAATCTGATCATACTATAATCCACCGTTCCTATCTAGCTTGTTGGGCCTTATTAGTGTCTTCCTTAACCTTAAGCTAGCTAACCAAATTGCCAGACAGGAAGCAAATTATAGTCCACATTGCAATGTGAATCCGAGTTTAAACATACACAATTTATATATTAAATATTTATAATTTACCTATTAATAATTCACAATTTGTGATGATCATGTATTGTATTCACAAATTTTCAAAATTAAAAAACACAATTCATATTCTAGAAGTTCACAATTTCAATATTAAAAATATACAATTTTAAATCAGGATTCACCTTACAAGGTGGAATCATGGTTCGTGGTATAACAACTGCCAAACAGGACCCGCTGGCCGCTGCACGTTTTGATGGGTGGTAAGACAAGGGCACAAGGCAATCCAGATCATATAAAAGGGACATAAATCATGCACCAAATGGATATTCTTTAATCTTTTAGGTATAAACCCAACTACATCATTATTTTTGTTTATGTATTTCCATTAGTGTTTCTATGTTGTTGCTTACAAGTAACTACTAACAGCCTTTTTTTTTTTTTTTTTTTGGATGGCTTGAAAATTGTAGCCATTACATGAGGGTCTATATATATTGAATATTTGAAGTCTACGATATAATTTGCCGCAATTGACATGCTAGTGCATTGGTATCCTTGTCTGCATTTGAATAGCTTTTTAAAAGGCATTATTGTAAAAGCATGAGTTTGAACTTCTAACATTACTTTTAAAGATTTTCAACTTCTCACACTTAAAAAACATGCATCTTTTAATACCCCGTATTATTTTTCTTAAATAATTTTTAACAACTTTTTATTCATTTCATGAAACTAATGAATATATGGGTCCGTCATAATGCAAGTGAATTAAATTTAAAATACATATCAAAAGAAAATAGTCAATATCATGTGATCTATATTTATTAAATTTGTACTATATATATGTATTTAAGTTACATTTTACATTTACGTACAACAACATAAAAATGACTACGTCTGATTCAATTCTTATGTAAAATATTTGGCTTTCGTACGTCTATGAGTTCTGTTACTTCTGTATCTAGAAATGCAAATTGATGAATAATTAATTAAATGCCAACAAGAACACAAAATATATAAGAAAATATTTAATTTGTCCCAACAAAATGTAAAAAATTAAAATTAAAATAAATAATGGACAATAGTGTAAATATGAACATTATATATACGATCCTAGCTAATATCAAACCATAGACCTAATTTAAGCTTGTAATGGATAAAAGTAATGAAACAATCATCAATGAAGAAGATCAGAACTCAGAAGACAACTTTGAGTATATGGAGCTCCAAAGCCAAATATGAAATATATTCAAATTTGTCCCCCTTGTTTCATTACAAAAATTATATTTATACTAATCATTTTAAAGTTACATTGTACAAAATGGTTATTAATAGGGTGGTTAGACACTTACACAGGTTCTTTGTGTATGTATTAGTCACGATCAATTCTAAGACATATCACACACTACATAATCCACTCAGTACAATTAACTTTGACATCATTCTAACCTTTCGGTCATATATATTAGAGTATTAGGCGCATGTGGGCCGAACTATCAAGTCAACCAATATAGTTTGATGATAAGTTATATCTCTTTTCAAATAGTATATTTTGAATGTATGAATGTAATCATCCTCCTTATTCATGAGACGTAGCAATTAAATAATTGAAGAAACGAAAATGTAAAGCAAATAAAAGAATTGGTACAAAATCCAACTGTTAGTTGTCCCACAAGCTTAGCTTGCTCTCGCAACTACAAAAAATGGGGTGGTTGATGGGCCATGATTAGGAACATAGTCTAGTTAAGAACATTATTTTTGGCAAAATTTTCTGCCACTGTAATATAGATTACTTGTCCACCCCTATTAATGAAAAGTGGGGCTTATAACCAAGGAGCCCCTGTTGAACATTGTTATGGCATGGAAGATGGAGATGGAAAAACTTTAGATCATTAATATGAGACATCTTTTGAGAACAAAATAAAATTGTTAATGTCTTTACAAAAGTGGATGTGCAACATGAGCAAGGAACATGTGTATGTGAGAGACGATCACCGATAAAGATTCTTTAGGTGCTAAGAGATAATAATATAATTGTTTCGTAGCCGAGAAGTATATAGGTGTGAATAATATGATTGTTTTCAAAATTAGATTTAATGTTAAGTTGGCTACAAATCTAAAGGTTGCAATGAGTTGAACAACTATTGCAAGATCTTTAACGTTAGGGCTATCAAAACGAGCTAAGCTTGACAAGTTGTGCTCAATTAAACAATATGTTAATTGAGTTGGATATCTTACTCGTGCATAACTTATTTGGACATATGATTCAAAATTACCATCCTCATAAAATGAGAAATTTCAAGTTTGTGTGATTTGTAACCAAATGAAAAGCGCCATCAGATTTTGAGTTTTGGGCAGGCTGATTATCTGTCAAAGTGTGGGTGCAATTCATAAATGATGGCTATCTTTTCATCATCTTATAAAGAATATGCTTCTCTAATTAAGCTCATAAATTAGTCTAATTCTAATTCAATTAGAACATAAATACATAATTGGGTTGTGTAACAGTATTGGAGTCTTGGCGATTTATATACAAGCCACCATCAATTTTGGAGTGGGCTGCCAAGCAATTCCCATTTGTACAAAGACAAAACTTCACCTAATCAATTGCCATTGCTGAACACCATGTGCTTTCTTGGTGATTGAGTATGGATAGCCACACCCAGCAACAGTAGATTAGATTTCAGGCTAAGTAATCATCTTAAATCTGAGAAGTCAAAAAGGGAAGCTTCATCCTCTTCATATTTTGAAAGGAAAAAAAATAAAAAGAAAAAGAAAAAGAAAAAAAAGGTTCTACAGAGGCATCTCAAGATTCCAAGAAATCAGTAAAAATCACTTTTTTACTTATTGGTATGGCTCAATTCCCATTCTGACTTTTATCTTTTAATCTTTTATATTGGAATTTGTAAGTTTATGCTTTGATTCTTTGATGCTTGGTGCTTCCGTAGCATGATTTTCAGGGGGCTTCTTGGTTTCATGATGGGTTGCTTTGGATGTGCTGGTCAGCCTACTGAGCCAAAAATTGAATCCAAAGCAGTTGGGGATGATCAACCTGTTATCACATCACCTAGGGTTAGGCTTAGTGATGGCAGATTCTTGGCTTACAGGGAGAGAGGAGTCCCCAAGATTAAGTCCAGTTACAGAATAATTATTGTTCATGGCTTTGGGAGCTCCAAAGATATGAGCTTTATGGCTTCTGATGTAAACCCAATAATCTCTTTTCCCTTCTCTCTCTTTCTCTCAATCTCATCATACTGATTTGCCTCCTTTTACCTCTAATTTCTGCTTTCTTGATTTTTGAATTTAATTCCTGGGGTTTGAATATTTCAAAAGTAGGAGTGAATTGAAGATGTATCATGTATATCTGGGCCTTACTTTGGGATTTCTTGAATGTGTGAAATTCAAGTTGCTTTAGAATTAAGAATTGGTTCTCCAAATCTCAGATTTCAGGCTTTCACCAACAATTTCATGGGAATTTTATCTGAAAATGGTCTATTTTGTCATTAATCACCTGAAACACAAACTAAAATTGCTTTTTGTTGATCATGGTATAGAGCTTCATGACAAGAAAACTTGTTTCCAATGTTGTTGCTGTTGTTATTTGTGAGAGAGACCCTTGTTTAATGATCAAAGTTCCACTTTACTTGCATTGTGTTTTGGCCAATCACATGTTACATAGTTTAGCACCACTCCCTCCTAAGTTAGAAGAATAGATTTAAACAAAAAAAAAACGAAAATTGTTGGAGCTACAGAGTATGTTATTGCTTATTTGAGTTGTAGCAGGAATGCATTGATTGATATTGCAGAACTTCTTGTAGAATGGTCTGATAGTGCTTTAGTTCCCCAGGAACTTCTTGATGAGTTGGGGGTATACCTCTTGATATATGATCGAGCTGGATATGGAGAGAGTGATCACAACCCCAAGCGCACATTAAAGAGCGAAGCATCTGATATTGAAGAGCTAGCTGATCTGATGCAATTAGGACCCAAGTACTACGTAATAGGCGTCTCACTAGGATGTTACCCCGCCTGGAGTTGCCTCAAACGCATACCCAACAGGCATGCTCAACTTTCACATTGTTTTTTGCGTTTCTGATTTTAGAACCAAGTTTGTTTGACCTCGAAAAACATACACTTGCAGGCTTGCTGGTGTAGCACTAGTCGTCCCCTTCGTGAATTACAAATGGAGATCACTTCCGGATAATCTGACGAGAGATGACTACAGGAAACAATTATGCCAATGGGTAATATGGGTAACACGCCATGCTCGGGGACTGTTACACTGGTGGCTGACACAGACTATATTCCCTTCAGCCAGCGTTCTTGATCAAAACCCTCAATTCTTTTGCGAGAAAGACTTGGAGGTGTTGAAGAATACTCCAGGATACCAATTGTTCACTCAGGTAACTTCTGTTTCTGAAAATACATTGCCAGTTTGGCTATAAGAAAACTATAATCCATGATGATAAACTTTACGAACGAATTGGACCATTAAAAAAGTTGTGAAGTTAAAGAACCTATCTGAGCTTCTGCCCTTGTTGCCTGAAAACGAAAGGTGGATAATCTCAAAAAGAAAGTGCTTCGCTTGCTCTAACAGGATGGATTGAGAAGTCGAAAAGTTTTTGACTCGCTCTGCCGGGACTGCACTGTAGCTTTTGGCAAGTGGGATTTCGACCCCTTGGAGCTAAGCAATCCATACCCCAAGAATGAAAGCTCGGTTCACATATGGCAAGGGTACAAGGACAAGGTTGTGCCCGTGGAATTGCAGAGGCATGTCTGGGAAAGGCTACCGTGGATTCGCTATCATGAAGTTCCAGATGGTGGGCATTTGCTTGTGTATGACACTGCAGTTTGTGAGGCCATATTGAGGTCTCTTTTACTTGGTGAAGATCCTTTACTGTATAGGCCAAAACTAGACAGCTAAGTTTCCAGTGTTCAACATTCTTGTAAAATTGTATTCAAATGTGATTCTGTTTATTTGATTTTAGAAATGAAATACAAGTGTGGCAGTGGTTGCTGTTTCTTCACATTTCCAGATTGAATGATTAGGCAGAAACTGGGCAGTGAGATACTTCATGCAAAGAAATTTTAATGATTATTTTTATTTATGAGAAATTCAACGGAATATGAAGTCCGCCTTGTGACTCGTAACTCTCATAGAGAAAAATTTTGTGGTTACCGAATCAATTGTTTGACCAAATTGTGACCTATGAAAGGTTTCATCTATTTCTCATGATAGTGTTGTACAGATTACAATAATTTATATAGGGAAAAATTATAACCTAATGAGCCCACTCTAACGGGTCTAGGGTTTCAACATGACCAACTCCAGGTAACGGGCCTAGGATTTCAACATGACCAACTTGAGGTAGCGGGCCTAGGGTTTCAACATGACCAACGCCAGTATACCAGCTTGGCGCCAAATGGAACGGTATACCAGCTTGGCGCCAAATGGAATGAGTGAAGTAGTAGCCTTCCTAGGTATCCCCTCCGGTTGATCCAACTTTAAAAAAGTGCAATTAAATACATAAATTTAAGATTTTAGCTCATTCTACTCCTTTAGCCGGTTACCCTTCCAATTACTTCGGGTAAAAGCTTACATGACATATTACTTGACAAAAATATTAATATTTGAGTTGCCATTATATTATAAAATAAACCTTAATTTACTCCACCCAATTTTTTTCTTTCTCTAGGGTGTTCTTCACCTGCTTCTTTTATAATATGAGAGATGAGAGATGAGAGATAATCAACTTAAAGGGGTGAGATGAATTAAAATCGTAAGTTTATATATTTAATTACATTTTTTGAAAGTTGAGGTAGGGCCTATTGAACCCTTTCCCTAATCTTATTAATGGAATGAGATTCATGAGATTAGATGGAGATAATATTATCACCTTTGCGCGTTGATCTCGTGCTAAGACAACAAACAGTGAATGCTAGCTTGGCAGCCATAATCGCCCATCCGCTCTCGTCTTCTTCCTGTCTTCAATTTCTCCGTTCAAATCTCTTTCACGCGATCTCCCTCTATATCCTCGCAACACGCACTACACACTTAATCATGGAGTCGGAGCTTGGAATTTTGGTGTAGCAGCTGTTAGAAGATGAGATTATAATGCTTACAGAAGTAGGCAATTTAGGGGTTTTCGAGCGTTTGGTTTGCTAGGAGAGTAAGGTGATGTTCTGATGGATTTCGTTTTGGTTCTTTTCGCTGTGGACTTTGGTGATAATCAGCTCCTGTCACGTCTGCTCATGTGGTGGCGGAGTTGGAGGAGGAAGTGGCCATGGATTCCGGTGGCCGTGGAAGCAGTAGAGACCTCTTGGCCTCTTGGGTGCCCCTGCTCATGTGGTGGACATGCAGCATTAAGAATTGGAGCAAATTGGTTTCCATACTAACTTGAATTTGCTCTTAGCTTTGTTTGCCTTTCGGTGTTCACATTTTTTCCCCAAATTCCTTGAATGCTAAGGGAGTAATTGCCTGCTTAACTACCTAGTGTGAATTTTGTGATATCTTCTGTTACTTATTGCTAGAGGTGGTGGAATTTGAAGGCAATAAGGAGGCATGAGCTGGAGATTTAGTTCTTTATCTGAAATCTTATGCTCTGTTTGATGACTACATTCAAAAGAGGGATATACTTTGACAATGCAGTGAATTTTCTTTCTTGTAGTGGATATTTCAGATAACTGCATTTATTAGGTTACTTAAAATAATTGGCGAAACGGTTGCTTTGAAACTTGTTACTTCATTCAGTCTTATTTCTTAAAAGGTGTCTCGGATCTTTTGCTGTGTATATCATCTGAGATGATCATGTGTGTTCTGTGACTTGATCCGACCCTGAAACGATTGTGAAGGATTTAGGTGTGTTACATCCAGTTCTGAGAATGATGCTACCAGATGGAGTTCTATATTGTTGTCAGACTACCTCTATCTCCATACTGTTGTCAGACTGCTTCTCTCTGCTGGCACAATTTCTTTTTTGGATGCTATCAGATGGGTAATGGGAGAAGCTTGTGCTCTTCTGAGCTGTGGAAAGGATTAGAGGTTCATCTTGATATCACTTCCAATGATTATAATATTGGATATGCACATCTAAAATTGGCCTATCCTTGATTACTGGAGAGCTGAAAATTTTCAAACAGAGTTTCCAATATTTCATAAGAAAGGTCTGGTAATATTTTAAATCCCTTCAATGATCCCTTTGCTTGATTACCTGGCTATATTTGAAGAGTTCAAATGGTATAATTATTTTTCAGTCAAATTCTTTGTGGACCAAAATTGTGAACTTTGCTCATATAAGGAGAAGCCAAAAAGTTATTTCCTTTCTAATTATTTACTTTTAATTTCCCTTGGATCAATCAGTTATCCTTGGTTTTCTGAACAGAGTGAGAAATTATTATTCTTGGCATCTTAGGAAGTGAATTGATCTGCTTTTACTTGTGTAGAACTGATAATTTGGTACATCATCTTAGGACTCGGGAATAGGGCAAAAATGGTGGGACAATTTATTTGTGCATTAGATAAGTATGACTATGTTCAAAGATTTAAGAAGCAAAATGGATCAATATCCCATCTTTGTGGGGATGGGGTAGAGGTATTGAGACACTACATTTGTAACTAGACAAGTATGACTAAGCTTGAAGATGAGAGTAGTAAAAATATACTATATATCAATCTCCTATCTTATTTTGGATCCTCCATAGGAAAATTACTGAAGATAGGAAAGTATATATTGTAATGTCCATCAAACACATAAGACAGGGTGAAATGTAGGGAATTGCTTTGAAAACACAGCTGTTTATACCTTCAGGTTGATGCATGCATAGATAATTCCAGGGTTTCAGCACAGTTCTTGTTTTAAAAGATCTAACAATTAACAGAGTTCTATTTTCTTTTATTTTTATTATTTTGTAAGTAATTCACATAGCTCTGTTTTAAAATAACATTTCTCATGTATATGTATTTTAGTTTAATTTTTACTAATAATATGTGCGTGTACTCGTTAAATATATGTTTGTATTTGAATATGTAGTTTCTTGACTAAATTGTTCTCAATTTAGCCAATCCCAGCTCCAAAGTCATGATACAGGATGGTAGTTGAGGTAGTTAAGCACGTCATAAAACTTAGTAACATCTCTATGTAATGGATATACTTGGATAAAAGGCAACCCCTACTAGATAGGATTAAGCTTGGTGGAGTTCAATTATATAGTATGTTATTCTGGGATAAGTTCATAGCCTTGTAATTTCTAATATTTCAGTGTAAAGTAAAACAATTTTGACATCCGGCCAAGTATGATGTCTGTGTTACAAGCAGATTATTTATCTTGTGTGTTTGTATGCATCTGAACTACATTTAAATGTGTTCACATTATACCTTTGTGACATATAAATGGGAAAATGCCTGTTTCATGTTATTTTTCCTGATTCTCATATCATTGCCAAACACTAATATCATATTGTTGTAATCCATTTTTATGAAATTTTTCTGGCAGGTGCTGTCTTCTGTTAAGCATTTAACCATTAAAATGTGGATTAAAATACTTAACGATGGTAATAAGGGTTCTATCCAAAGAGAAGAAAAGATTGTGGTACTAGTGTACTACCTTATGGTGGTTAAGGGTGGAATAGAAAAAAAGAGGGGAACTGATAACAGAGCCATAAATCTGTCAACATGTGAAACAAGCTATGCAGCTGAAGCCTAGCACTCTCTCAAAGTTGCTAGATGATCATGGTTTCAGCCTTTCAGGTACTTTTCCTTTGTATTTAGACTATTTCTTAGTTTGAGAGAGACTTTTCATCTTTACCGAAGTAACATGTCTTTCATATAAATATACTTATCTGAGTCAGGGTAATTTAAATGAATAATCACTATCAAGTTTTCTATGAAGTTTCTCTTTGCATCTTAGTTCTGATGCATAAAATGCAGACCTTCACTCTCTTATAAAAAGACAATGTTTCACAAAAAAATACAGTTGTTCCCCTACAAAGTGTGCCTCCCAGCAATATTACTGAAACCATAAGTTTACTTACTATAGGTGATTGCCAATGATCATATATACAAGATCAAGATTGCTGCTCCAAAAGTTTCATTTTCACTGCTATATTGCCTTATGTTCTACACTGAAATGCATACAGGGTAGTAGTTAATTAATTTATATACCTAATGGATGGTCATGACTTGTCCTCCCTTCACTCTGGTGGCCTATACTTGTATTTTGAATATAAGTGCATGTTAGTTTTATTAGTGGTTAGAGAGATTAGATACTGTGATAAGTACACATATACATGATGTGAAAATTAAGTTTCTTGCTTTTCTGGAGTTCAAAACGAATCTTTAATTTGACAATGAGTGTTTTTCAATTTTATTTCAATAGAAAATGTTGATGTCATAAATTTCAAATAAGTAAGAGAAGATTAAGTGCAGAAATTTTAAAATGTCCTAGAAATTTATTTAGTCCATTTATTTTTAATTTTTAGCTGATTAAGTTTAATTGAAAAAATTAATCTTTAGTTGAATACAATATATTTCTGTATCAAAAGGTTTTTCTTTCATTTCTGGTTGGATAAGTATGAATGAAATGATTTTATTTTAGTAAGGGTTCGTTCATAATTAAAATTTCCTAAAATGGAATTACAAAGTTGATTTTATTGGCGCTCCACAAAAATCTGCAGAGTTGATTCTCCCATTATTATTTATCTTTTTCGAGAATTAGAAAAATTCTTTTGAGCGCCAATTACACCCTATAAATTCATAGTCTTTTCGCCGTTTTCGGTACACATTTTAGGGTTTCTTCTCCTGCCGTTAATTGAAAAGCCAGTAGATGCACAACCTGCTTTGGATATAGAGTCTGTGGAGTAGCTAGGGGTTTGACAGGATCAAGATTTTTTGTTCTCCAAAAGAAGTGAGTGTTTCTCTTCAATTCATTATTCTTAATTCCTAGATCCCTCCCTCTAATCATCCATGTGCAGTCTAGTTATGGGAATCATTTCAAGTCTTAATTTTCATTTTCATTCTTATTGTTGTACTTCAATGCCCTATAATTTTCTTTTTTCTTAAATCTTAATAGAGGCACATATTAAAGGCTTCATACTATCTAGGTATATGGAGACCGTTTTCAATTAAAGAGGCCTTTTCTGGAAAGGAATTTTGATCCTTATTGAGGAAGGTCATGAATTTGAAGCATCATGTAGGATCTATTGGTTAATTCCTTGTTTAATATGTAAATGGTTTATAAGAAAATCATACACCATCGTCTGGCCAATTTGAAATGTGTTATTAAATTGACAACCACCAGCTTTAAAGCTTTAGCTTGTGATGAAATTTTAAGAATTTCTGTCTAATTGTTATACAAGAAGCTAATTTTGATGAACCATTTTCATCCGATGCCCCTGTAAAACTTGATTGATTTTATTTGCTTAGGCACAACTTTCATATCTATGGTTCCTTAATATCTGCCCTCTATTCCCTCTTTCTTTGGTTTCTTACATATTCTGCTTCAGCCTAATTGGCAGGTGGTGGCTATTTGCCACCCGCTGGACCTTTTAATCCCTCAATTTCAACAAATGAAAATACCTAATTTCTATTATATGTAGGTGTGATATTGATTTTGTTGTTTCTCATGAATTTTTTGTGAATCTTCACCAGGTGCAAAGCTGAAGAGGATCCAAAGAGCAAGTTCTGTAATTCTGTAAAGTGGTATGAGATGGTGAATCCACCTGCAGTTATTCAATCTTTATCTCAGGTTCTTGCAGAAACAAATGGAAGCCAAAATTTGATTTTGGAATCTGAAAAAGATAAAAAATTTCCAGAATCTATGAAGTTGTTTGCTGATAACATGGACCACAGGCTCATCTCCTCTACAACATCAAGCACAGGGGGAATACTTACAAATTCCCGTGTCTTGGAAAAGAATGTGACTTCATTGTCATCTCAAGGTTGTCTAACATCTGAGGACAGTCCAAGAACAAATATTTGTGGGGCTCATGATCCATCTATAGTTGTTCCATCAAATGTTAATGGTGCTGTAAATGCTGGCTACAAAGTTAAAACATCGGTATGGCCTTCACAGAAGATATTACATTCTAAGGTAGAAGCTGAATATGATGTTCAAGGACAAGAAATGTTTTCCTCCTCAACTATGACAGCTGAAACTATATTGAATGAGAAAACAGAGCACTTAACCACAAAGAGGCAATATCATAGCACAAGGTCAGAGTGAAAATTCAGATTCTTATAAGTTCTTTATGTAATCTTTCTATTTACACTTTTGCTAAATATCTCAATGTAATTTCAGGAAGTGTGATAATACACCTCCAAAGCTGAGGCGTCATAGCGTTACTATTCAAGCTGGGCAGAGTCCAGTTGACAGTTCTCTAAATTTGAAAGGTATAGCTAGTTATAAGAGTGTTGCTATGATAAAGGTATAGCTAGTCATGCATACTCAAATGCAAAAGTATATGGAGTGTTGTTAAAGATCTGTGCCAGTTGTAGCAAAATTATATGATGAACAACACAAACTTGAAAATGGCTTAAAGACTCATTGGGCAATGACTTTCTAGATAGAGTACTTACTGTTACTTTTACTTAATAAAAAACAAAGAAAATAAAAGCAGTAAACTATCTACATTTGAGAATATGCTCAAGAACATGGTAAACTAAGCTATAATGCACTTGGATAATTCCTTATTTTCTTTTTGCTGGGGGTGAGTGAGCTGGGTGTAAAAGCTAAGATGGACAGCTATTGTGACTGAATCTTGAATACTTGTGGATCCAGAATTTATTGCTCTTGAAATAGATTTATAGTGGAACTGCCTTCATTAGCAGGACCAAAATTAGTTTTAGTGAGTTTGATGACGAAGTTACAATTAGCTAATGATGTATCATGGCTTGTAATTGAGTGAATTTGTGTGAAGTACCATAACTGCCTTGTGGATATAGAATTTAGTGCTCTTGAAACAGCTCTGTGGTGGAACTGCCTTCATTAGCAGAACCAATAATTGTTTTAGTGAGTTTGATGACATGTAGTTTGTGCAAATTAAAGTTTAATTTAGCTAATGATGCCTCATGGCTTGTAATTGAGTGGATTTATGCGAAGTAGCAGAACTGACAAACCTATTTTAACTCTACCTTCTCAATGAATCTTGTCACATTAATGCACATTTAATTTTTGTCTTTTGGATTCAGTCCCCACATTTATTCTTCTTTGCATTTGCTGCAGCTCTTAGAGAGCATGAGATAGTCTGCCATATTTTGTTATTATCGTGCAGTTCATTTTATAGACCTTCCTATTTATCGTTTCACTATTAAGAAATGAGTTTGTACATGGTTTTTAGCGGTCATGATGACATACATAAGTTAACTATTCAGGTGCATCAGGCATTGATCATAAACAGCTGGTAGCAGTTGCAAACTCGGTTCATGTTGCCAAAAGTATGCACCAGAACTTCTATTTCCATACATTCTCTTATAACTATTTTGATGACTGTTATAATAGTGTTACTTTCTATCTGCAGGAGTTGCCTCTGCTAGCCCATATTGGAGTAAAATGGAAAATATCTTTGCTTCTGTCAGTCCAGAGGACTTAGATTTTCTGAATAAACAAGTATATACTTTATATTATTATATTTCATAGATATGTTGCTTATACAATTTCCAGGATGATTTTTTTAGTTCCACCTTTTGCAATTTTTTACTTTTCGACAGATGAATGTTTCATTCAAATTCGGGGAGTGGCCGTCCGAAATGTTGGTAGATGAAAATGCAACACTGGTGTGTTTGTATTTCTTTTTGTTTCATTTTGATGCAAATCTCTGGTTTTGTTAATAACCAATGCTGAGAAAAAATAAGATGAAATCTAGTCAATCATTTTCCTGGCTTCTAATCATGATCTGACTTTTGCTGTTACAGGGTCTCAAGGAAAAAGAAGCAGATAGTAAAAAACACGAAAATGACAAAGGACAAGTTTCAGTTGACTCTGATCCTTTATTTCAAGGAGCCCAAAGTATGAGTAGATTGGACAGAGTTCCCTCATTAACCCAGAGAGTTCTTTCAGCTCTGATTGATGAAGATGAAGTTGAAGACTTGTACAATCAGAATGAAGTAAGTATTTCCTTTCAGTGCACAAATGATACCCCTGACCATGGTTCACTTGATGTTATGGCGAATGATCCAAATAATTGCAACGGAGTATTAACTGAAGTTGAGTTGGGAGTGGATTTGCAGGCTCCAGATAATTGCAATGAAAGCTCATCAAATGGTTGCTTGCCGTTTCCAGCTAGAGGAGATTTTCCTGAGATTTCCAAAGAGGATTCTGGTTCAAAATTTTCTTCAAAGCTGGGCACATCTGATATATCATCCTGCAGTTCCCAGTATCAAATGCTTCCACTTGATGATAAAATACGAATGGAGCTACAGAGCATTGGCATACCTCTGGATTCCATGGTACTTAATGATGTTTAATTTTTTTTTTTATTCCATCACATATGGCTTTTATGCTATCTTTTCTTATATATATGGCATAATTTTAACAGCCTTGCCCACCCTTGGAGGAAAAATCTGTTGATCAAGAAACTATGGAACTTAAAGTTGAGCTGGATAAACAGGTCAATTCCTTTCACATTTCACATATCTCCAAAGCAAAACTCTTATGATTAGTGGGGTTTTTATCTCCTTTCTTGACCTTCTAGGACTTGTAAATTCTGATACTTCAGGATTTGGGATCTTAGCTTTGCCCATACAAGACCAACTGAAAAACAAAACTGTCTGTGTATTCCAAAATGGAAGTTGGATAAAGTTTGATGATTGATTTAGGTCAATGAAGATGAATAATTTATGTTGATGCTGTTATAATCAGTACATTGGTGGTGATTTTACCTAACTCTAGAGTGGTGGTTACGGTGATTAAAAAATTGTCTGAATCTTTATTTAGTCCATTTTTCTATTTGCTGGATTTAAAGTTTTAATGAATTGCATTACTTTTCATCTCTCTGGGAATTGTGTTCCTTGTCATCTCTCATGGAATAACTATTTATTTTATTTTTTGATTAGTAGAATTTCTATTGATTTTAAACCTGAAAATATCCATTAGGGTATAAAGAAGGCAAAACTCTTGAGCCAAATTGATGAAGCCATTCAGCGTGAAAGTCAAGAGGAGAAAAAGTACAGTCTACTTTTGTGAATGGATCGTATTTGATAACAGTGCCTGGATATTATGGTGTTCATATTGTAATGAGCAAGTCTGTTTTGCAGGAACGTTGAGCAGGTAGCAATGAATCTACTTCTCATCACGGCATACAAAAAGCTGATGGTAATTGATATTGATTTCTTCTCTGTAATAATGTAATTGAAGATATATGGAGTAACTAGCTATGGGGCATTTAGGGTTCTCTTTTTCCATGCTTTTAAATTGATGGTCTTCCATAATTTTCAATTTATGGTGGCGTTTACTCTGCTCCTATTCTGTTTCCTCAGTCGGTATGCAAAATGGGCAATACTTAACCTTTAGCAACCTGTGGGGGGAGGGAGCTGGCGTAAATGGGAAAATACCTTATGTTGATGCAAATCTGCAGTTCTATTTAGCTCCCCTCTAACAGAGAGGCTGTAGTTCTAGATGCATCATTTTCTTTATATCAAAGAGTTCATTTCAATAATAATAATAATAAAAGATATATGCAGGCTAGCAGAGGTGGTAATTCCTCAAGAAAAGCTGCTAGTAAAGTAGTAGAAGGAAAGACAAAAGCTTTTGTCAATCGTACTCTTGTTAGATACAAGGAATATGAAAGTACAGGAAAGAGTTGCTTCAGTGAGCCCGAGTTGAAAGAAGTCCTTTTCTCCCCTCCACGCGAAAAAGATATGAAGTCTGCATTGAGTAGATTTCGAAGGAATTTCAGTGTTGGCTGCCACAAAAAGGCAACCCGGCGTAAATCTTGCCACAGATATAAAGGTTTATTCTACTGCTTCCCCTTCTTTCATGCATATTGTTCTGCTTCCCTTTCATCTATTGACTATTGTAGTATTGGAGTTCATGATTAAAGCTTCTAAACAATGTCTTTCTGGGTTATACAAGAGTATTAAAATGAAAAATGAAAATTTGCTTGGATTTTTTTGAGTCCAAATCTGATGAAGAATTTGGATGATGAGCTTTACTGATTTGATCTTTGTGTTTTATCATTCCTTTTTTTGAGTTGAATTTTATGCTTGTTATTTTTAGATCGCCAAAATTAAATTAATTTTCCAGAGACACCTTTTTATTCATTTGTTGATGTCTTCTTAGTGCTCTTGTTTTGATTTACATACAGCAAAAAGTGGTGCTTCGAATGCTGGTAAAGCTGCAGCTTCTTCCTCAGGCAGTGGGGTTCAGACAGGAGATTCATCTGGTTCAAGGGTGCACTTAAAGCGTTCATCCTCAGTAGCATCATTGAAAGATGATTCATCCTCGGGCTCGGGTAGGGTGAAGAGAAAGAAATCGGTGAGTGAGGTAGAGGTCCTCCATGCCCCCAAAGCAATAGGAAATTCGAAGAGAAGTAGTAGTTTAAGTTCAAGTTCAAGGAGGAGGGGTGAAAACGGAAGCACTCCTACTACTACTACCAGTGGCATCATGATTGTTCCATCATCAGCAGAATGTTGTGGGAGGTTGAAAAACAAAGCAGCAGAGGAGGAAGAAGTGGATGATGTTTTAGCAAGGGAAAGTGAGCTTCATGAAGTGCCGATCTCTGAGGACCCTGCTATTAAGGAACTGAGCAATACTGTGAGCGTTGTTGCCACTGAGAAAGCTCCGCTGTGATCCATCTGAACTAATTCTGGCTTCAATTCGCTATTTTACATGCATGCATGCATTTATCCCATAAACATCAAGTATCGGGTTGAGCCCATATAAATAATTTCCATTTTAAAAAATGGACACCTCAACGTAACTATGTTAAAGAAAAACTTTTTGTGACATCCAGGTAAATGACTAATCAGTCAGTTTATTTTTCTCTATGGAATTGAAGTTTGGAATTCTATTTGGATTTAAATGAGAAGACATTTTCTTGAAATATATATACATATATCTCTGCTATTTTCGCATACTTTTCCATTATCCAGTTATAAAACCTGTATTTTCCTTACCTGTCACTCGCGGTGACTTGGATTATTTATTGATAGCCAATGAACACTCATCTCATGTCACAACTCAGATCACACGCAACATTTGATAAAAAAAAATTAGTTTAGTATTTTTCTTTACTTAATGATTTAAAACTGAATATGGATTACAATATATAATTTTCATCCCACTTTACGGCATGGGATGTTGTAGTGCATGTATGATCAATCAAATTATATTTACGTTCAAGTGCTAACACAACATCACCTAAATATTTTGTCATGAAATTAAACTTGTGGGTGTCGTTGCTGCAGTCCAGGATTTATTTTCGATCCCGTCCCTTGTATAGAAAAAATCTATAGCTCTATATAGTTCAAGAAAATATATTTTTTCTTCTAATTTTTTATAAAAGGTTTTACAAAATTTCAGTTTTCATTAAAATGTTAGAGAACATGCATGTTTAATTGTAATTAGTTTTCAATTTATGAAATATAAAACTATTTAAAATTGTAACCTTAGTGGTCAGTGTCAGATCAATGGTATTAAACATTGGTGGGCATCGAGTCGGCGGGCTAGCTTGATGCCAGTAAAAGATTAGTATCAAAATACAATTAAAGCATGTTGATATATAAATGATAATGATGTTTAATGCTATCTAATAACACCCAATAAGTTTGCTAGCTTATAATGGCATTTAAAGCATTTTGTCGTAAAGTATATAATAATTTTTGTGTATTTTTTTTCCCGACAAATCTAACGTTAAGAATGTGGATAATCATGAACAGAAGCTTCTTAGTTAATTGGTTGTACAAAATCTTAACTGAAACACATAGGAAAAGCTCACCATTTGTTTAACTTAAATAAAGCAACAATAATGTTTTCAACTCGTTGCTTTATGAGTATGATTCACAAGACGACCGACCAGCTTTAATTTATCCTTTTAAAATAATTAAGTCTAACCCAATTGACCAAATTCAATGAACATAAAGTGACCCAAGAATAGGAACTCCAACAAAGCCCATTCATACCATCCGATAGGTGTGAGTCGCAATTTTTGCATTAATACAAGAGTTCTTAGTTCCATTAATGTTAATGTTATGATTATATATACAGAGTAATAATCAAATGTGATCACATCTTCCTGCGAGTTTCATAAGACCTTTCGAAAATGCACAGAACCTGTTATAAGAATACACAAATACTAAATTATGTACAATTCATCCAACTGAAAATTCACACAATTTATCTCGTGTGCATTCGTGTGGTAACTTTTATACATTTCCGGAGAATCTCACAGGAACAGGAACAGGTGGATGCATTTGAACAATATTATATATATATATTGAAAGTCTACCTTCTACTCAAGAATATAATGCATGAATTAGGTTTTGAGTAAACAACAAATTAAATTAATTAATGAGATGGCCGTCTCTTCATGCACATCAAGAGCTAGCAGTTTTTCTTTTGTTTTTTTGTCCGAATATATATATTGTGCATACATTCCAACTTGAAAGAAGACAACTGCATACTGTGGACATATATATATTTTCTACTCATTTCCGATCCCGACCTGTGTCCTTTGTGCCTTAAAATAATTTTCACAACCACTTCATCATCATATTATAACTGTCACAACTCAGGTTAACATCACGCCCAGAGTCAACACTCAAAGTTAAAACCAAAATTAGACGGTATATATGTAATAATATATTAATAATATCTTGCATTTTACATTGCTTCGGTCTCAGCTTTTTAGTTTTACATAGCTTCCTCGTGCACATAAAATTGGTTCATATGTACAAGATGGTGAAATGACTAGCTACTAAGAGGTCGAGAATCAAAAGAAATTCCTATATTAATTTCACCTAATAAAGTACGCGACCAATGCACAGCGGGAAGCCATGGGATTTGATTTGATAATTTGATGATTTTAAGGTTTACCTATCAGATCAGATCAGCTGGTTTTACAATGATCATCATATCAGATCAGAAGTTTGCGAATTGGTTCTGATGAGAGTTTTGCACCATTTGTAGCTCCATAGTTGCTTGGCAAGCGCCATTATTGTCAACCACCAACGTTGTCCTAAACAAAACATTGAACGTACTAAAATCAGTCATCAAGAAAACCCTAAACCCAAGAACCAGTAAAAAAATCCGTGTTGGGGTTGCTCTTACTCTCGTGGACGAGATATCCAAAGGGAGCTGAGAGCCCGAAGCCGGCCATAATACTCTCCAATCACCAAGAAACACCTCACCGCTTGTCTAACCGTCAGTATCCGGCACAACTGATGAAGGGTTTGTTGTCTTAAGTTATCAGCCTGCAAGAACACACTATTTCATCAGATGATGATGAAGTCAAATTTTAGCAGAACGAGGGCCCCCTGGTGGCCATACTAGGTAGTCCCTGTCAAAAAACATCCAAAGGAGCTAAAACACACAACATTATATTGTCATATATGAAAACATTGGACTCTTCCAATCATTTAATATTAAGGCTGCGTCCAATCTTTAACTAGTCTGTTCACATGATCCCTATAGCGATATTATTTCTTTTTGGCTTGATATGTCTAGCAAGGGCTCATATTTTCACAGACATCGCTTTCAATACAACCAAAATTCACTTCTACTAAAAACAACAGTAGTGGACATGAAAACTGTACCGTGATAATAATGTCTGCTATATTAAACTATGCAGCTAGCTGCAGGTTTTGTACTCTAGCATAGAATTGAATATATTACGCCAAAACAAAACTAAATTAGTACTAAATTGTCTCAAAAGTAACCTATGAGCACACAAAGAATTGCCTAATAACCAATCCATAATCTGCTAATTACTTGAGAGTGACCCTAGCCAGCAAAGGTCTACAAGGAGGTAAACTTTATTGGGTTCCCCATATTTGACGAATTCAAATCAAGAAAGCTAATAGGTCGCTCCTAGGCCAGTGGTTGTTGAATTTGGGACCTAACCAATTTGGCTGGGGTTTGCCCTATGTTTTGCCACCTTTGGTTGAGGGATCTATGTTGGGATTCCATAGCTTTCATTGAAAATAACACATAGAAAGATAAAGGTATCTCCATGATTGGGGTCATTTTTGTAAAGTTCGTTATAGCATCAAGGGATTGCTTCAGGCAGAAGTATTCTTCTTTAGTCTCAGAGTGACAAGTATGTTGTCCCTACCTTAAAGTTTGTTTTGATTAGAGGATGTTTGCAGGTATAGTAATACATAATAAGAAGTGATACGGCAGGGTACCATAATGTCTGGTTGACATGCATGCATCCCTATCTAGCTTCATTAATACTTTTGGAGCTTTTGGTAATGTCATGATCGAGGCCGGAAGGAAAGGAGAAAGGTGATGGGAAAAAATGAATTGAAAGGGATAAAAAAGAGAGGGATTCTGATCTGCTTGGCCCTCTCATATATAGCCTTCAATTCATTCTAACTTTTTCTCCTTTAAAGTTTAAAGGTATGTTGTAGACAGAGACTTGCAGCCACAGAGATTGAAGAGATTTGTGAGGATATCCTGCCAGGGTCCCTTCCTCTAAAGGTAGGCCATCCTAGTGGGGAACCAAGTTGATAAAAAGCTAAGCCTAAAGAAGCCTTTCCTCTTAGGGCGGTTATACATATAGTTATATATCTTTTCACAATTAAAAGATTGTACCCTAATTCCAAAAGTCCCCATCTAAAGACTAGGTAGAAGAAGTAAATCTAGAACAAGTCTAACGGCTAGTTTAATTTATAAATTCCCTAATGGGTATAGTAAGAATTGTACCACGCACCATGCTGTTAATTACCAGCAAAGTAAAGCTATTAACTCTCTTTGAATTGGTCAACCAGTTGAGAATATGAGATGCTCGGAGTGTACTTGTCTGATCTTTTCACAATTGAATTGACAATGTGTTGTGAAAGATCGTATATATAGTATGGTCTAAGTTAATGTTACCCGAGTAGAAGTTGGAGGATTAATAATTGTACAATTATAAAAATAGATTGTAGATGATTTTACCTGGCGAATGAAGCCTTCAAGATTTGAGAGCTTGCCCAAAGCAATGGCCATATGATGCATGCCATGATTGAGTGAGGCAGTAGCAATGGTCTCAACTAAAGAGTGTTGCAGTTGATCCAAACCCTGGGTAAGAGCCTCCTCTGCTTGCTGGGTAGAATGTTGAAGGCTGTATATCCCCATAACTTGCTGTTCTGTCAACGGATCTAACTGCCCACACAGCATCTGATCATCAACTCATCAAAAAACATCATGTTATTACAAACATTCAACATAAAACTTCTCAACTTCAATTCCTTAAAAAATGAAAACTTTAATACCTTGATTAGGTCGGATGGCCTAAAACCACCCATCCAAAGAAAACAACGCTCCGCCTGAGTCATCCACATTCCGGTGATAAGATGGAAAACATCAGTCCTTGCGGCCACCCCTTTGAGCCGGAAAATCTTGTCGTAGTGGGCAATGTACCCATCAATAATCACCCTCAGATCATCATCTGATAAATGGGCCTGCAGTGCTGTTCTAAGTTCAGACATGTGCCTATCATCATCCTCTAACCATCTTGCATATTCCATGTCAAAAATTGCAGCCCCTGAAAATTCACTTTTTTTTTTTTAAATTAAAAACTCCCTCTTTGTTTTTGACCAAAATATCCATTAATAATATTAATTTCAATTCTCAAAACATTAAACAAGAAATAATTAATGCTAAAGTACAAAACGTAATTGTCTGCCCCAAACCTAATGTTTTGGACGCATTCATCAGAATACTCTAAAAAGATAAGCCAATGGGGTGGTAAAAAAAATGGTGCATGGCATGTAGTGGCCATGGATGAAGATTCTGGTCAAACCAATATCTTGAAATTTACTATGGTTTGGTGCTGACTATTCATCAGAATCAGAGAAAGGCAGCAGAAGATAGACTAAAGACTAAAGTTACAGTCAAATGCAGGAGTTTTTTTGTCTTGAGATGCCCTCCCTGCATGTAGTCCAACATCTCATAACTGATTATAATTACTATGTTTGACCCATGAAAAATCACTCATAGGAAATTCAATTTCAGGTTGCTACTTAAGGTCAGAGGTATGACTTTTAGTTCCTCCTAAACACAATAATCATTAACCGGTTGGTATAATTTTTTCTACACCATCTATAAGTATTAGATACCAAGAACATGTAACAAATGTTGACAGTACTCGATACCTGCAGAGCTGATGCCGGCACTAGCCCCCGCACCACCTCCCACGAGAATTCCCTGTTCATGACAACAAAAGACGACCAAAGTAAAAACCATGGAATGGAATCCATTGTTTTCAAAGATTACAACCACGAGGTTGGGAATCAACCTGGGACCGTGCTCTTTGAAGCTCCTGTTCTAGCTGAGCAAGCCGTATCCTACTGGTTTCTAGTTGCTGTACATAGGCCTGGACAGTCAAATTTACCCAATTTACCTTAGCTTTACAGATAAAAAATTTATAAAATTTCAGTTCAAACAATGCAACTTTAATATCTGATCTTATACACCTTTTTCCTTAGCCTGCTTTTTCTTGCAGCTTCTCTATTCTGAGCTAAACGCCTCAGTGTCTGAAACCAAAAAGGATCAAGAAAAAAAAAAACCATCAATAATAATAATAATAAATAAAAGAATTTAAAATTATAGGAAATATGGAGATAAGCATAGATATATCAATGTCAGCACCTTAGCATCAAGATTTCTATCAGAGGATGAAGCAGCACCCTTTCTCTGCAAAAGTCAGCCCCATCAAATAAAATAAAATAATATGTAAATAGTCTAGACTGATTAAACAAAATAATTAACCAATATCTGTGTTTAATGTTATTTACCATTTTACCCTCTTAGTCATTATATTAAGTAATTTCATTTCATATATTTTAAGTAAATGATAATGAGATTAGAGTTGATAAAAATGAGATTACATGTGCAAATCAGAGTGGATTTCCCAATTCCAAGAAAGAAGACAAGGAGTTGAACAAGAGTTGTGGGAATTTGAGAAAGGACAGTTTCATTAACACAGGACAATACACCAAAGACTTGTCCTTTAATTTTTTTTTTCTCAACAGTTATAAGGTAAAAAGGGGAAATAGTATAATTGCTGTGAAGATTCTCTATCATTTTCTCCTAATACCATGTCAGAATGAACAGAAGAGAATCACCCAGAAAGCAGGAAGATAATTCTCACCCTTTGATTTGGTTTGAGCAATTGGTGGGATTTGTGAATTGTGAGTGTGACCTCTCAAAGATAGAATCAACAAGTTTTTGTTTTTGTTTTATTTTTTAAAAAAGAGGAACTTTATGGTACTACTGAGCAATGAGGGTGCAACAACAATAACAAAGATGCCAACTTTTTTCCCTAAAGCTTTTGGGGTATGCCTAGGAATGGCAATAGAGGCCCATTGGTAGAGAAAAGAATTCTTTCCCGTCCCCATTTTCGAGAAAAAAAATGATGGGAATCCTGTTCTGTTGAGTTCGGATAAAATTGTCATTCCTAAAATTCGAGAGAAAAAACATAAACTAACCTTATCTTGAGTGGGGTGTTTAGGAGGTGGTTGATCAGCTTGTGAGGCATTTCCAGCAGGGACAGGGGAGTCACTTGTTGCCATCTCTGTTTGTAGAAACTGAGGTTGTCTTTGGTCAAAGGAGTGTTGGTCTGAAGCCTTTGTGCTAATGGAGGATTCTGGTCCCTCTGCTCTGTTTGCAAACCCTGAATCACCACTGTCTTCTCCTCCTGATCTTGTTGAACTCCCTCCCTGTATGCAAAAAAACATGAAGTTATAATAATGTTTTGATTATTCCCAGAATTTAAGAAAACATCATTGTCAAGATCACATTGGATGTGCAGCAAGGAAATACCCTAGGAGGGGTGGGATGGAATCTAGTAGGCCAAGATGGGAACATTTCCAGAGTAGGTGCAGGTCTATCTGCATATAAAGCTGCACAGAATCACAAAAGCAAAATCTCTTAGGATCATCAAATCAAATATTGATATAAACCTGAAAAAAGGGCCAAGAACCAGAGTAAATTTTCACTTTTTTGGTTTAATTTTTCTGCAGTTATGGAGTTAGTAAATCATGCAAGCAGGCCAGGTTTCCTTGTTTGAAACCCCACGCCATCCAAGTCTTGAGCCAAGAATGATTACTATACTGTATTGGAAATGGTAAGCCTTTGTGGACATATTCAAACAACTCCCCCCCCCCCCCCCCCCCCTACCCATCTCTGTTCCTCTGTACTTTACTTTGCAAACGTCAGAAAAAGGAGAAGTAAAAGCATACAATCTTTAACTTCATCATTTTTGTTGATCTTTACTCCTTGCAGAACAATAGCTTCTTCCAGCTCCCCAAAATCAAAAGCTGATGATCCTTCTTGACCACTAACCAAAAGCAAACTAAAACCATGTCAGAACTCAATGAATATTTGTATATAAACTAAACTTTTGGAATTTAAATTATTCTCAGCCATTTTCAAGAACTGCTGGCTGAAGAAGATGAGATGTAGGAGATATTACTTGGGTGTGGAGTGGAACATGAAGCTTGTAGTGGCCGGATTTGGGCCGCCGTGAAAAAGAGCATAAGGCATGTTATGGTGGTGGTGGTGGTGGAGGCGGCGGTGTGAATGGCCAGTCTTTCCAGCTTTCTGATCACTGGCAGCCATGCAAACCAGTCCAGATTTAGATCACCTCTCTGTTGTTAATAATATTCAAGAAAAGCAGGAATAGACCGAATAGTAATACACACAAACACACATACTATACACAACAGAAGCTAAGGGAATGAAACAAAATGATGATTTTGTAGAAAGTATTAACAGAAAAGTATTATATTATTTTGCATGAATTTTTTTTCCAGAAAGTTTACCTCACAGTACAGTTTTCAATGAAAGTGAGAGGTGAGGAAGATGAGCTAGCCAGCAAATGAGAACTTGGTGATAAGAAGAAAGAAAGCTCTAAAGCTTTGTTGTCAAGTGTTTATATATATATATAAATGAAACAGGAGCTAGCGCGCCAAACAATAGGGTCTTCTGTGCACTTTCTACTCTCTCTCTCTCTGAAGAAAGCTTGTATGATCATTCAGATGAGTTTTTCTTTTTATGTCCTTTCTCTGGAGTAACAATTATTATTTTCAGATTTTATTGCGACCAATCCAATGGTAGAGAAGATCTTGTGGTACTTGCAAAACCTGTTTCAGACCATCTGTCATTGCAGGGGGGCTTCAACTTTCAAAACCCAAAAAGATTAAAAAATAAATAAAACAAAAGCAAAACCAACAAATTAAAAAACATATAAACAAGAAAAAAAAAAAAAAAACCTAAAACATAGTGAAAGGATAATAATCTACTTGCCCACATGGACAGGTCAGTTGGTTATAGGAGTAAAGTATGAGAACACCGATCCGGATTAAGTCTCACCAATAACAGTGTGAGAGTAACTTCTCAAAGTGAGGGAGCTCCATGTGCATGCACAATAAGCAAAGGTCTAGCCTCTGTGTTCAGTTGAGTTATCATAATTTACATTGTTTTGTCGAGGCGTGGGGACTTTTGGAATTGAGGATTCAACTTTTGGAACAAGGGTAATACTCTACTTCAATAGTAGTCACAAACTCGCAATATGTCTGCTCGAATTTTTATGAAGAATATAGTATGAATTTATTCTAATATTGGTACCCAATTATTCTTGTACAAGCACTTTGGAGAACGTAAAATTACAATAACACATCTATTCAAGGATAAGGGTAAGTGTAAACCTTAGATATGAGGTGTAAACATTTTTTTTTTTAATAACAGTTTCTCCCTCATAAACAAATGTCTACTTGTCAATTATATTGTTTGTTCACCATTATTCCCAAGTTTGGCAACCCCATCTTACTATATCTTATAATATATGTGTGTGGATAATCGTATAATACAACATCATATTACAGTATATTTTGAATTAAAAAAATAAAAAAATATGTCACTAATTGAAATTTACTTAAAAAAGAATTACTTTTATGTTAGTTTATCATGTTATTTGGTCATATAATATTATGCTTAAAAAAAAAATAAAAATAAAAAAAAAAAAAAAAAAAAAAACTAGAGAGGGTTTATAACTCTCTCTCTCTCTAACCGTCAGTGCTTTCTGATTGGGTGTTTGTTGGTGTCTTACACAATTGCCACGTACTACCTACCCCTATTTCTCCATTATTCAATCCCGACTCTCGTAAATGTAAAACACCACATTAATCACTCATAATTTTCTTAATCATTTTCCGTGTTTTTAACGTTCAAAATAATTACTCACTAAAACCACAAAAAATGTTTGATTACTATGTTGTCTTTTCACATTTTAATTTTGAATTAAAGCAGGCAATGATGTATTTTTTTTTTTAAGAAAAAAAAATTGATTTGATTTTTTTTGGTCCAAACCTTTAATGAACGAAAACATGATATTTAAGTAGTAATTAAGCATATAATTAGGAAAGGTGATTGTGGTGATAATTATTGAGTATTATAATCCGGTCCATATAAATATAAATATAAATATAAATATGGTTTGAAATGGATTTGTTTGGTATTATTATTTGATTTATTGATGGCTCAACATCCAATCCCTGTCATCAACTAAAACCAAAACCACCATGCCACCCCAAGATTCTTTTTCTCTTATTAGAAATATTAAAATTTTATTCACTGGTGCAGATTGGACTTCCTAACATCTTCATTTATTAATGTCTTGCATTGTTTGGAGCTTTGGATCACATTAGGTATGCTAAATAATTAATCATAATAATCTTAATTTTGAAATTATCGTACACCATAATCACACTATTTACCTCTAAACCAATTCATCCTTCATTTTAATTTTTATTAACTAATATTAAATATTTAATTTGCTTATGTTTTTTTAATACATCAGCCAATAACTAATATAAGTTTGTTTCGTGTTATTACAAAATTCTAAGACTCTGTATCAAAAGGTGTTGACTCAAGTGAAAGAGGTTTGAATCGCTTAAACATATAATCAAATGTTAGTTTAAACACTATTCATTCAATGTTTTTAATTATTTTTTTAAGAAGATAAAGATTGTGATTATAAGCCGCCATCATTATCATATATAATTTCTTCATGTATACCAATGGTAAGAAACAAAATGAAAAATAAAAACAAAGAGCTATGTTTGGACGTTTGGAGAAGCAATGGACCATATATATTGTTATATACTTACATAATTAGTACTTCTGTGACTAAATGAACTAATTAGAGGAGGGTGGTGGATAAAGACCTTAGGGAATGGACCCATAATTTATTTATTTATTTATTTATTTATTTATTATAGAGGATAATGTGGATTACAAATACTCAATGCATTGTTTGTCATTTATATATATGATCAATAAATTAAAGTTTTGCAAATAATTATATGCCCCCGTATACCAATAATTCCTTCCTAAAACCAATCATTGGACATTGAAAGAGGTTTGGTCCAATGGATTAGGTGCATGTATACTTTGGAGTTCTTCAACTAACTAGCTTGTTATGTTTTCTCATATTGAAACACATGACATGTTCATCAGGTGAAAATTTGTGGAAACATAAATTAATTAAGGTTTCCATTTCATCTATGAATTCATAGCTCCTAAACTAGCTAGATGTTCTGTCTTTGGTCTTCTTGGTTTGAGACGATTAGCTATAAACAATCTAGATTAGTTGTGCACCTTCAAGTAGCGACTGCAGACTTTTCCGTAAATTAAAGAGTTAGTGATCCACTCATGTGAGTATGTGAGATGTGGAAATTTATGTATGAGAATATATAAAGGTTTCCATTTGATCTAACATTCCTTTGAATTCATATCCCTCTTTATAGTTGCTTGCTTCTCTGTACTACAAAGCTAAGGTGATTGGTTTAGACCAAATCATGTTCAAATGTATCATTGTATATATGTGTGTGGGTGGCTTCAAAAATCACAAATCTTATCAGGTTATATGGGAATAAGACATTGCTTGTCACTTAAGCATGGAACTTAATTATTAATTAGTATAATGTATAGTTGAAATACACCAACTTGCTTTTTCCTAGATTCTTTTAATTTTTAATCATCATAGTCCAAAGAGAGGTAGACATTAATGGTGGGGGTGTTTGGGGGGGGGGGGGGGGGGTGTTAGGGCTGATAAAAATCATCTCTTCTTGTGATGGAGTCTACCTTATTATCAATTATCATATTAACAAGTCAATAGATCATTTTGCATTCATGATGACATTTAGGATGTCCATAATGTTTTGTTGAGAGGATTATAGTCAATAAAGAATCTCATAATGTTTTCAAGTTCATGAATCATTAAAATTAATTATTTGATCCAATCAATCTCCTATGAAGGCACATTTTGTCTTGTGCATGCATTCAAGTTTTTAGCTTATATGATACAAATTTTGACTAGTATAATAAGTTTCAAGTGTCATTAATTCTTAAATGACAAATATAATCGTTATCGCAAACAAATTAAATTTTATTACGGAACGAATTAGGTAAACTTGTCTTTAGGTGAATTTGCGTACGGCATATTCATTAAGATTTGACTCGGGTTACACTCATAGAGTTTGATTCTTACTCAACAAAAAATCAACATGCTCAGCTCCAAAACTTTTTAACATTCTTATTATTATTATTATTATTATTTTTTTTTTTTTGTAAATCTAAAGTTACCCAATATCGTAAGTCACAAAATATATCCACAAATTTATCCTACATTTGGTCTACGGACTATAACATCTTTATTTTTAATTTCGAATTTAAAAATATTTTCCTGTTAAATAAAAAATGCTCTCAAATGCAATATGACAGAGTTTTATAAAAACTTTACAAATTAAAGAAATTTCAATTTCCTCCATACATTGTGATAACTTTTTTTTTTTTTTTTCAGATGAGGAAAATCCATAGTTACTTTTTGGATAATAGTATGCAAATCACACAAGAAAGGAGAAGTAAATCGCACTAGAAAAATCTTATGCAATGATTTCTATCAAGAGAGTATTGGTAAAAATCAAACTTGTGACTATCGATATACAAAAATCACGTTTCAGTCACTTGGTAACCTTTTTCTAGAGCTTTGTGATAACTTTATTTGACTCTTGAATTTATTTTATTAATGATGGTGGGTTAAGGTTATTGAATGGTCAAAATATTCCAAAGAAATTCGTATACACAACAGCAAAATGGTTCTTTGGGAAAGTAGTTTGAGTGAATCCATGCCCTACCTTTTATGTCTTAAAATTAATCAATTACTAACAATCAAGCCTTACACTTCAAAATCTCAGAAAGAACTTGATAATAATAAATAATAAAGGATTATTACAATCCAATCTGTGGTTCCCACATTTTGGTTTGACTTAACTTCCTGCAACAACAATATCATCTTTCTGAACTGGTCAAACCCATGTAACATGTTCTTCAAGTGTTGTTTAGTTCATTATGAAATGAACATCAAATTTAACTAATACAAAAACATCTATAGTATTGTATTATAGTCTAAAATGAAAAAAGACTGTTAGAAGAGCCTGTAAAACATTATACTGTTTATTTTTCGATAGAACCAAATTCCCAACCACTACTATATATGACTGTCAGATTCTTTCAATGATAAAAGAGTATCAAATGTTGGTAGCATTTGGCAGAGCAGTAGACATTACTATAAGAAAAAACACAATGTGGAAGGTTGCATGTATATACATAATACATCTACCCCACAACCTTCTCAAGACAAAAACCTCCAACAGGGAAACATATATAGTTAGCAAGTCAAACAAAAATAATTTTAAAAAACATGAAACAATGAAAATGGATAATGAAAACTATTGCTGATCTTGAGTACTGATCTTGACCAAAATCTCTATGATACTTGCTGAGTGATTAATTTGAGTTCAAACATTTCAAAGAGGAGAGAAAGAGAGCCGTTATTTTGAGGTCGAAAAATGAGGGTATGGTGATTATATGAGTTCGAATATTACAGAACATCTGCAGAATGCAGTCTCAGAGCCATTATGACCCAATAAAATAGGTTTTATTCAAAATCAATTGAAAAAAAAAATGCCTCCATTCTGATTATGAGCAGTGTTCCTGCCAATTTATTCGGATGGCCTTTGTCCCAAAACTGGAATATCCTCGTAACGCTTCTGCATTTTGATAGTTTGAGCATTTCAGTTGAAAATTTAAGCAAGTGAGATAATCCCAATAAAGTTCATCAGAAAAAAAAAAAAAAAAAAAAAAAAAAAAACTAATAAATGAAATTTAGAAGAGGATGAGTGATATTCTAACAGCAATGATAGAATAAGCAGAAAATAATAGAAAAGGGACAAGTTTCTCCACCACAAATTCCACGAGGCACAAGGTATTAGGTGAGAGTTGGTCCAGAGGGAATTGGAAGGTAGTGGATGGAAATACTAGACAGCCATCATTCTCTAATTTTCTGTCAGGAAGAAAAAAAAAAAAAAAAAAAAAAAAAAAAAGATAAGGGTTGCTCATAGTGATAGGTTGAAGCTTACAGAAGCCATGAAGCAGGGGAAGAAATCTAGGAATCAAGACCTAGGTACATATTTATCCTTCCTCACTATTATTGGACATAAATCACATAATAATTAATGATTATATAGAAGAATCCGCAAGAATGTTATGAAAAAAGTCACAGCATGGGTTCTCCAAAATGGGCTAAAATATTATAAAATTCAAACGGCACCATTCAATAATAATAACTGATGGGATGCTTAAAGTGGGTATAACTGACAATTATGATAGTGAATTATTTGAAATGAGGAAGAGGACAGCAATGCTAACTTGTGAGTGGATACAACTACAAAACTAAAAAGCTAGGGATAGTGGATTATGTTTTTGTGGTATGGATTGTCAGCAAACGAATTCAAGTCATGTCAGTGTTAACAGGCAACAGTTTTGTCAGGAAACTTAGAGCACGGAATTAGGAGAAAGTGATGATGATGAGATGGACTGGCTGACATAGAGGGTTGATTGAATGTTGGGTTTGGCAGAAATGCAGGTTCTATCAGAGTTCGCTAGGCTTTTTGCTATGCTAAAGCATATATGAACAATGATCCCAAGAATGGGAAGCCAGCTACTAAGTAGGAGACGATGACACCAGAGTTGATTAAGAAAAATGGGTTGACTACCAAGGAAATCCATAGAAATGTGCGGTAAAGTGAAACCCATACATTTTTAAAGTGTGAAGCTAAAAAACGCAATAGTGTCCCTAACACTTGGTGCAGAAAGAGCGAAGTGAAGCACATGTTTTACCACAGAAAGCGAGCAGCGAACCAAAGGTGCAGAAAGCTATTTTAACTTTAAATCATGCAGAAAGACAAGAGAAGAAAGAAAAGAACACATAAAATGTTTGCACATTCTGCAGAAGCCAGACACAGAATACATAGTTATTAAAAGCGATGTTGTTCACATGAGCCATAAACTAACATTTACAATAATGGTATTTTAAGTTTTGCGTCTCAAATTAGCCATAGAAAGAAAAAAATTTATTTGCAGGTTAAGTCTTTTGAATTGCTTCTTTAGTTTAACACAAACAAATTGTATACGCATCATTTTAAATAAAGCAGTTTAACCGAGAGTTCTAAATAAAATCAAAGCAAACAGTAAACAAAATATATAAACACTACTTTAAGAAACATATATAATCATTTTGTAAATAATTTGGTTTTAATGACATCATCAAATAACTAACTGCTTTAACGAGTTTATTGTAATCTCCGGGCTTGCAATGCTGCATTAGGGGAGAAAATAGACAACTATTTTTTGAAGAACAAAGATTCAGAGAATAAGAGAAGAAAAAAGAGATTCAGCTCTTTTTACATCCCAGCACTTTGCACATTAATTTTGAGCCTAACTCCATTATTCACTGATTAGAACCCAGTATTTGTTCATTTATAGACACGTGAACAATCATATAGTACAATGAAATTTAAAATTAAAAAAAAAAAAATCAAAAAGAACACATTTTTAGGAGCATAAGAATAAAAAGTTCCAATTTTGCATATAAGCATTTGAACATGATTGAAAGAATTGGATCATACACATAAGTAGACAAGTTAATTAAGGGATCTACAAACTAGCAAAACAGTAGGTGGAAAGCGATGAACAATACCCCAACATTGTTCTGCTCCCAGAGCCTCTTAACTCCATAGTCCACCGCCTGTAGTTACAATTCATAGGAAATTAAACAAAAAAAAAATCAAAATAAGTTCAACAAAATTCAATTTCTACTTGTTACATATGCTTCAAATTATTCAGATCCAACAAAATCCATTCACGTGAAATCTATACATGATACGTATGCATGTATTTGTACTGACCCTTTCGCCGATGAAAGCTCCGGCGATTACGAAGGTAACGTAGACAGAGTTGCGGCGCATGATGACTCTGTAAAGGCCTTCGAGAAGGCCGCCGCCACTCCTCCGAGCTGCCGCCGATGATTCCATTGCTCTGCCGTGTGGAGAATCTCAAAATATGAGTTTGATGATACTCTGCGAGTGCGTTGGAGGTCTACCCATAACTTTGTTCGGGTCTGGGCATGGGTCGGTACATCCCCTCGGATTCGGGCCCATTCCACATTTTCCTCCCCTTTAATTTTCATAAAAATTACTCACCCAATAGGCCCAATTCAAATATATTGACAGATTTAGCCTTAGCGCAATGGCCCAAACTTAGAACTTACAAGTTACAACCGTTGTATCGTGTACCAGGACACACAATGCACTAGGTGTCCTGGTTTAAAATAATGTCGTTTTTATAAGTTGGTGGGGGAGTTGACGCGATGGACACCGTTCAGTCTGTTACAATTTTTTTTATTTTTTAAATATTTGTATTTATGTGTATTATGTTAAGAGTTTATGTGTATTATGTATTATATTAGACTATGTGTATTATGTTAGGAGTTTATGTGCATTTTTTTGTACATACGAAATAGAGATTTTTTTTTTTTAAAAGTTAATGGCAGAAACGGAAAACGAAACTTCCAAAAAAAAAAAAAACAAATACAAGACGTTAAGTTATCATCTGAACGCAAGCATATATATCTATATATTTATATGAGAAGATGAATAGAATAAGAAATTTGTGCATGGCAGTACTCGTGAAACTCGTGGTAGCACACAAGAGTATAACTAATGTTGTGGAAATGGGGAGAAACCATTGTTGAAGGAAAGGCAGGAATAGGAATATTCACATTCTATTTTTGGCGTTTGAATTGAGAAACATACAGTTGAGTGACTTGACTGTTTTGCATGCCTATATTCTTTTCTATATATACACATATATACTTTGCAATAATTCATAACAAAAGTACACAAGGGTAACAACACATCATCAATAATAACACAGGAACCAGGTAGGATTACTCCATTTTATTATATGTGTATATATACGTCTCTGTGTATATAATGTGTGTTGCAGCCATAAGCTAAACAATGCATATATATGCTTAATTAATGATTTAATACTCTAATCCTCCAAATGGTTTAAGTCTGTAGTTATTCATTGCTAATACTGTATATGGGCATTGTTTTGTCAAGATTTATGTATTCTTTTTTTTTTTTTTTTGTTATTGGCTTATTTCTTGCTAATGTATTAAAATAAAGTATAGAAATGTCAATAAAACTTAAAAAATTTAGAAATCAAACTAATAATAAAGTGAAGAGGCCTGAATACATACTGCGCGCAATCAATCAGAAATACATGAGTAAATCTTGCTTTCGTTTGAGTGTAAGGAGAGAATTATGTGAAAATTAAAGAAATTGCACGTAATTTCGTGGAAATAAAATTGTTAGAATCAAATGATTATCATTACATTTTCGAGACGTTAAGTGTTAGACTTGGCCTTTACTTTGACATCCGCACAACAATCTCTCCCTAGTCATAGGGTGCTAGACTTAGCTTTTACAAAATCAACAAATTTTAAATGTTATTACAGGGATTCAAATTAAAGTCCTAATAACTTGGCTTTGATACATTTGTTAGATCACGCGCTTACCATTTACCTCAAATGCTATGTCGGTCTATAAAAAAATAAAGTTGCGCTTTCACTACTATATATATATATATATATATATATATATATATATATATAGATATATATATATATATATATAGCTTTTGACGTAAGTGATAAGAACTTGATCTTAACAAAAATATAAATTCAAATTAAGACATTGTTTGGTAAAAATGAATAAAATTACTAATTAAGAATCAAAAGAGCTAGAATTAGTATAAGGACTAAAATGTCTAAAATAACTTAATATTATTATCAAAGACAATTTGATTCTCAAACTCTAGACAATTGATGTATTATGAAATTCAATTTCCATTCCTCCCATCAAACTCTGAAATTATATTTTTGGTTAATTTGTGGAGGCCGGGTGTTATAAGCTAGTACAGTATAGGTTGGTGCAATTGATAGTTGATGTTAATTTTATGTGGATCTATATCTTTAAATTAATTTTCATGCACTATGATATAGTATAGGATCGGAGATCAATAATATAATGACGGCGGCAGCGATGATGATTCCGCTTAGACATATTCAAAAGCTACTGCAGCGGATATGGGGGAACTGGAACATCCATGCCATTGTTGTGGCTAGTCTTGGGTTTCAGTGCTTGCTGGAATTCCTTGCGCCGTTGAGAAAAAGGAGAAAGAAAGCGTCCACCCACCTCAAAATCTGGTGTGCCTATTTACTTTCCGACTACTTTGCCACCTTCGGCATAGGCCTCATCAATAGCAACTCCGACAACAAAGACGCCGCCGGCCCCCTATCGTCCCTCCTGGAGGCTTTCTGGGCGCCCTTCCTCTTGCTCCATTTGGGCGGCCCCCACGCCATCACCTCCTTCAACATAGAAGACAACAACTTATGGCACCGCCAACTCCTCACCCTCATTGTTCAGACTTTCTCCGTTCTCCTTGTTTTCTACCGCTACAAAATCTACACCCACCGCTGCTTAGCCATCTCCGCCGGGATCGTCTTCTTCGCCGGAATTGTCAAGTACGCTGAACGGATCCACTCCCTTTACCTGGCATCTGTGTCCCATATGAGGAGGTCAATGCTTGAAAATAATTCTTCTTCTTCTTCAAGTAAGGGATCCGAGGAGGCGTTGCCGGCGAATCTGGACGACGAACTGGAGATCGTCCACAGGGGGTACATGTACTACCAACTCTTCAAAGGATTTATCTTGGATCATACGTTTATCCACATTGAGGATAAACTAGAGGCGGTTAAGAAGGTGTTTCTAACGCTAGATCATGAGACCGCGTATAAAATCCTGGAAGTGGAACTCAACTTCATGTATGAATCCATGTTCACCAAGATGGCTGCCGTCCAGTGGATAAGTTCATTCGGATATGCATACCGATTCGTGGTTCATGTTTTACTTTTAGCGGTGACCATCACGTTTTACTTCTGTGACAAGTCCGGCGCTAGTTTTATTCACATCTTTATTACCTATCTCTTGTTGGGCAGTGCAGTTGTGTTAGACTTGGTGGCTCTATGGAAGCTGGTTTGCTCTGAGTGGACTGTAGCTCTAATGATGGAGGAGAAGAAGAAGCCCATAGAAGACAGAAATTATAATAATCTTCTGAGAAGATGGATTTCGGGGCTGATGAGAAACCGGAGGCTAATGGAACGCATCAACACTATACATACAAGGATTTCCTCCAGAAAACGTTGGTCCAACGAAATCCGACAATACAGCTTGATCAACCACTCCTCCTATAAGCAACGGTGGCAACCGTTGGACAAAATAATCAACAGCTCCGGCCTCATCAGAGAGAAACTTGATGCGTGGCAGTACACTACAATTCAGCCGGTTGGGTGCCTCCTGCTCCGGCGGCTTTTCGATCACATCAAGAACAAGGCGAAGCAGCCGCCAGCCGGCGGTGCTTCCACTTCTACCGACCAGCTGCCGGTTCATCATGTATACGACAACTGTGTGTTAATTTGGCATGTTGCTACGGAGATATGCTATTTCAGCGGAGGACAAGAAACAACAAAAATGAAAGATAATAAAAAACTGTGCAGAAATATTTCGGAATATTTGGTGTACTTTCTGGTAATGGAGGGGAAACTCACGTCTACGGTCCCAGGAAACATAGGTTTGAGATTCAAAGACATATGTTGGGAAGAAGTTAAAGACACCATTAATGAAATTGTGGCGGGCTTGCCCAAAACAACATTTCGGATACACCGTTGGGTGGACAACGTCAACTCCATCATCTCTGCAAAACTCAATGACTTCAAGGATGCCGCCATTAACCTTGCCAACCGGAACAACACAAACAACAACAATAATGCTGCAGCAGGTAGACCTACCTACCCCCGGCCTTCTACAAAATTCTACAATTTTGGTATAAATATATATGAAATAGGCCCTATAAACCAAGATGCAATTCAACCATTATTATTATATATATATATATATATATATATATATATAAAACAATTAGACACTAATCTCATTTTTTTAATGCCATTAACTTTTTAAATTTGCGTAATTAGATCATAATTCTAGACAAGGCCAATGTAATAGCAGGTAAAAAAATTTCAAAAATAATATTTAAAAAAAAATCAAAGATCAAAGGAGAAGCTGGCAATTTTCTTTGTCTAGTTGGATAGAGGAGCCGACCAACTAGAAGAAGAAACCATGACCAACTTCTCAATTCAGTTGGACCGAGAAACCACGGCTTGCAATGGAAGTATAATTTTATTTAAATTACTTTCTTTTATTTTTAATTAAAAAATACTTGTTTTTATTGTATCTAATGGTAATATGTTAATCAATTTTTTTTTTTGATGTAAATATGTTAATCAATTTAATTACATAAGAATATAAGAACGGATAAGGCTAGACGAATGAGGGAGGTAATTTTTAATTAATATTTTGAATTAGAAGAAACACTTTTTTCCTGTACCTAAAGGTAATGTGTTAATCAACTTAATAGCATAAAAATAGGAGCTAAATGTATCTAATAAGACCTTTTCTTTAAAAGTTTAATTTTACTTTAGTATATAATTGAATAGTCTATTTAACCCTATCCAAGAATTTTTTTTATGATGTGAATTGTACTAAAATACATGCATCATGTCATGTCACCATATATCCACTTCTGATCTCGGCCATGGCATTATATACAGATACATGTAATAGGATGCCCACAAGGTGGGAAAAACTCAAAATGAAATGGGAAGATAAGAAGCGGGGAGAAGTTTGTGGACACCTGCTACACATGAAGTTGAGAGACAAAATCGAAAATGGAAGTGCAAAAAGTAGTAGTGATGATCATTATGCTAATTCCAAATTGTCCGAAGCTATTAAACTTGCAAATCATTTGAAAAGCTGCTGCATACCAGATCCAAAGGGACCAATTAATCCTGCACCCAACAATAATCAGAATCAGAACGAACAGGATGTTGAAAATCCGGATTCAGCACAGGAACTGATGACTGGCCACCCAAACAGACCGGAAAATAATAATGCTGATGAAGTAGATCGTTGCTCGGAGGAGGAATTGTGGGAAATTCTGAGTCATGTGTGGATAGGGTTTCTGTTGTATGGAGCCAGCCATTGCAGAGACGACGTTCAATATCTCAACAAAGGGGGAGAGCTTCTTACGTTTGTCCGCCTTTTGATGGTTCATTTTGGGCTCAGAGAAGCCTTCAGGGATGAAGCTGGTGCTGCTGCTGCTGTTGCTGATGGTGGAGGATTCAAACTTGCAGCAGAATTGCAGAAAGTAATTAAAGATGAAAAATTACTACCTTTTCTCCCTAAAATCACCTTTAATTTTTTACCTTAGCTTGATTTGTTGAAGTTTGTTTGTTTGTTTTTTTAATATTGTAAAAAGTGTGTAAAATAAACGATTGAATTAATTGGATTTGTGCAATTGATGAGACATTGAACTAAAAACATATATGTGCTATTTTAACTTTAAATCATGCAGAAAGACAAGAGAAGAAAGAAAAGAACACATAAAATGTTTGCACATGCTGCAGAAGCCAGACACAGAATACATAGTTATTAAAAGCGATGTTGTTCACATGAGCCATAAACTAACATTTACAATAATGGTATTTTAAGTTTTGCGTCTCAAATTAGCCATAGAAAGATAAAAATTTATTTGCAGGTTAAGTCTTTTGAATTGCTTCTTTAGATTAACACAAACAAATTGTATACGCATCATTCTAAATAAAGCAGTCTAACCGAGACTTCTAAATAAAATTAAAGCAAACAGTACGTAAACAAAATATATAAACACCGAAACATATATAATCATTTTGCCTATAAGCATTTGAACATGATTGAAAGAATTGGATCATACACATAAGTAGACAAGTTAATTAAAGGATCTACAAACTAGCAAAACAGTAGGTGGAAAGAGGGAATTGACTGAAATGTGTAGAAGGATCCATGTATTTCACAAAATGTGGGTGAACTTTTTTTTTTTTTTTTTTTGACAAAAATATGTAAATCGATGTTGGGACTTGGTTTTAGGTGTGTCCCATGCAAACAACCATGTCACTATATATATATATATATATATATATATATATATATATATATATATATATATATTTATTTATTTATTTATATTGGGTTTCTTAAAACGCAAGTTCAGGTATTACTTAAATGTGTTTTAGGTATACGTATGACATACTGCAAAATGCATCTGGCAGATGGGTTCAACGTATTATATGTTAAATGCAACTGCCAAATACGTTTAAGCTACGGGTACTCCGCCGACGGCCGTCTACGTGACTAATACAGTAAAACGCAAGATGAGAGGGTTTTCTCTTCTAGTCTTCACAACCACCGGCCTACATACAACTGCCCTGGGTTTTCTTCACATGAAAATTACTGAGGAAAGTGAAAGGAAATGGGAGTATGATCTGCACTGTTCTCAATTTGGGTTTCTTCTAACCCGTCTTTTCCACACCTCGAAGACCAAGTTTTCTCTACTCGTCAAACTAAACCGTCAGAGATGGCGGTGGGTGAAGTTTTCTGGCCAAATCTTAGTTCCCTTTTTTCTCTCCTATCTTTCTTTACCTTGTTTTTCTTCGTTGCCAGATCCGACGAGCTCCAATCGCTTCTAACTTTAAAGGCCTCCTTCCAGAACGCCGGAACCAGCGTGTTCGATAACTGGAATTCTAGTACCTCACCTTGTACTTTCGTCGGAATTACCTGCAACTCCGATAGTTCAGTCAGAGAAATCGAGCATTCCGGGCAAGGCCTGTTCGAGTCTATTCCATTTGATTTCCACCGCATAAAACGCATTTAGGAAATGCGTTTTAGGTATACATCACAAGTCCAACTTGCGTTTTAAGAAACCCAAAAAAAAATGGTACACACCTAAAACACAGGTACCAACATCGATACTGAATGCTGTTGAGAGGAATCAAAACTGAATTTGTTTTTAAGTGGGATGCGCGTTTTTAATAAAACGACGTCGTTTAACGATCCTTGATGATACTCTGAGTTACCTGCGTTGGAAGTTGGAGGTCTACCTATAACTTTGTTCGGATTCGGGCCCATTCCACCTTCTGGGCATGGGTCGGTACATCCCCTTCGGATTCGGGCCCATTCCACCTTCCCCCCAATTACTCACCCAATAGGCCCAATTCAAATATATTGACAGATTTAGCCTTAGTGCAAAGAGAGTAAAATACACGTGCAAGTATAAAAACCCGTGGGCGGAAAAAGGGTGCGTCACTGTACAAATGCAGGCGCGAGGCGATTCGTCGGCTCTGGACGGAGTTTAGATCATCGAACCATCTGTCTTTCTATAAATCCGCATTTTGGAGCCACTTTTCTAAGCGCCGATTCCTCTACTGCGCCGCTTCTTCACTCTCTCATTAGCTCATTCTTGACTCCACAATCACAAATCCCGTCTTGGTAATCTTCTCATTTCCTCGTTCTTCCCGCCGTTGTTTATTTTTCTGTGTTTATCTTTTTCAACTCTAACTACCATGTTTGATGTTCTTTTGAGTTCTCAATCTGAAAATGTTGCTTCTATAGAATTTTACTGTTTTAGACTTTCATATATCTGTATGATCTAGGAGTAATTATTGTATTTTCTGGTGTTTTGATTTCTTAGCATTGCTGCATTGGAGTTTACGTTTAGGTAACAGAGTATTCTTGATATCATATTGTTTACTTGATTTATAAATGGATTAGAGTAGCATGCAGAACATTTGGGGATTTTTCTTTTCATTTTGAATTTGGAGATTGGGTTATGTAATCTTGGGGAATTTATTGCAAAGTTTAATTTGTTCTTCTTTGGTTGTTCTGATCAAGTGTATAGATTTAATGGCTTTTCTAATCAAATTCTTTGATGTCTTAATTCAATGTTGATGTTATTGCATAATGGGTTTGTTAAATTTAAAGTCACTTTCTAAGTGATCTTTTGAGCAAGTAGTATGAATGTGGCATTTCAGAGGAGTGGCCTTTATGAGAATTACACTATAATAAGCTAATTGGCCAGTTGCATGAATGAGTGTTTTGAAATGTTGCTTTTATCCAACCATGGTTTTGAGTTCAATCTTTCTTTTTGAGTAAAGGAATGGTTATGTGTTGGAGCCACAGATATATTATATAATTTCATTCTTATTTTTGCGTTTTTTAATAATTTCTGTAATGTATTGGCATCATTCATTCTTGTTAGAATCTGTGCAACTGTGGAAGAGTATCTTAGACTATGATTTCCAGTGATTTCTTCTAGGAAGTACACTGGATAGAACATGGATGAATTATTTGGTGAAAAAAATATGGATTATTAATTGAGAATAGATAAACATCATATGGATATGCTTGAAGCAAGTACTGTTTTTCCTTGTTTTAATTCTGTATTTGTATCCCTTGAATAATTGTTTATAGTTTTCCTAGCTATTTAAGTGTCATGTTTTCAGGTAAACATGTCGACTGTCGGTCTCCCATCTAGTTGTGTGTCCATTCCTGCAACTCATGCCAGAACTAAGAGTGCCTCTGTCAAGTTCCCATCGTCTCCAGTGTCTATTAAAAGCACCACTAAATCTTTCGGTTTGAACTTGAAAGCTGACTCTCGCTTCAGAGCATCTGCAAATGCAGTATACAAGGTCAAGTTGATAGACCCTGATGGCAATGAGCACGAGTTTGATGCACCTGCCGATGCTTACATCCTGGACTCTGCAGAGGCGGCAGGGATGGACCTGCCCTATTCTTGCAGGGCTGGTGCATGCTGCACTTGTGCTGGGAAGATCGCGTCCGGTTCTGTTGATCAATCTGATGGATCGTTTCTTGATGATAGCCAAATGGAAGAGGGATATTTGCTGACTTGTGTCGCTTACCCGACCTCAGATTGTGTGATTCACACTCACAAGGAGACTGAGCTTTTCTAGGTATTACTTCACAGCTTATTCCCTTGTAGCAGTTACATGACTGACAACAGTATGTTAGCTTGTTTTCTTGAATTGTCAGGATTATGATTCAATTGGCATTGCCTTCCCCCATTTCAGCATTTTTGTTTTGATTGGAATTCACGCCCTTCATATATACATAAACATAAAGACTGTCTCACACCAGACACTGAACATTTTAGCCATCACGTGAGATGGTCTCACCTAACATAGTATGCCTTAATTAATCTCTTGGTTAGGTTCGAATCCACGTTCTCCTCTGAGACTATCTCTTAGCCCAAAATGGGCCATCAAAAGGCGAACAAATGTATGAAACTCTCCACCTTTGGCCAGGTAGTAAACATCTCCTCTGCAATGGCTGGATGCATACACCAGCAGCCCTACCCACACTCGACTCAGACTTGCCCACAACACCCTAGGATTGACTCTTACTTCTGATGTCTGGTTTTCAACATCTCTTGTATAAATGCTGCGACACTTGATCAAATCCCTTGCCAGTCCAACGCCCTTGGGCAATACTGATAAATTAATGTTCTCATTTTTATGCATCCCCTCGCTGTACTCATTCACCAAGTATTCACAAGCTTCCCGTCTTTCTATGTCTACAGAAATGTATTTATAATGTCATGGATCAGACTAGCTAATTAATGTCTACAAAATGGATTTATAATGTCATGGGTTAGACTAGTTAATTGGTTTTGCATTCATTTATAAAACAAAAATCATTTATTTACCTGCATCCTTGAAGGTGTTGTCGAGGTCCTTAAGTGTGTGCTCGAATTCTTCCCAACATATATCCTTAAATCTTATTCCTATATGTCCCGGTATAGCAGACGTGATATTCCCTTCCATCACAAGAAGGAACGCCAAATACTCCGAGATTTGTTTGCATAACCCTGCATTCGGATCTTCTTCTTCCCCGTTGTCATCCATGGTGAAGAAGTAGCATATCTCTGTAGCAAGATGCAGAGTTAACACGAACTTGGCATAATAATTCTGCTCGTTCTTGTGGTGCTCAACAAAGGGAAGTATTATTCTATTGAGAATTATGGTGAGGTTTTGGGCGTCTTCATCATGCCCTTCTGCTGTGTGTTTTCCTTCCTTCTTCTTGATGTCATATAGAACCAGCTTCTTCAACCTTTGTTCAACCTTAGCAGTTGTCGTGTGCAGACATAGATCGATGCTGTCCTTGAGCGAAACATAGTCTAGTATCGGTTCCACATGTTTCCACCGTCTGTTTAAGGAGTGGTTGATCAGACTGTACTGTCGGATCTTCCCTGACCAACGCTTCTTCGCCGTAATCAATTCCTTTACGGCGTAGATCATTCCCAGAATTGTCTTCTTCACTTGCAGTGACGGTGCCTTTGATGTCATTATTTTAACCATGGTCCACTCAGAGAATATGAGATGGGCAAAAGCTATGGCGTCCAACGAAAGAGCACAACCCAGCAAGTAATAGGTGACTTTAATGTCATGGAGACGAAGGTTTTGTTTGGAATGACAGAAAAACATGACCGCCGCGGTTATAAGCAAAGCATGAGACACGAACCGGAATATGTATCCGAGGTAATTGTCCCAGTAGAATTGGACGGCAATCATCTTGGTGAACATGGCCTCGTACATGAAGTTGAGCTCCACCTCCATCACCTTAAAAGCATCCTCTTCATCTATCCTGGAGAAAAACTCCTTGTCTTTCCCACACTCGTCGTGGACAAACGTGTGATCAATGATGAATCCTTTGAACGTTTGGTAGCCCTCGTACCACTTCCGGACAACCTCGTACTCCTTCTCCACCAACGTTATTTGTCGTCCCTTTTTTTTCCCCTGTTTTCTTGTTTTTTGCCGGATGGACCTCCTCAAAAACGTGAGAGATGCTAGGTGGAGGGAGTGGGTTCGCTCAACACACTTGATGATTCCGTCGGCAAAGACGATCGCCGTCGGGACCCGCCATTCGCTTCGGTAGATTTTGAAGGTGTAGAAAACAGAGAGAACCGAGAAGACCTGAACAATGTGGGTGAGCATTTGGCGGCGCCATAAATTGTTGTCCTCCATGGCCAATGCAGTGATGGTGTGAGGTCCGCCCAGGTGGACAAGCAGAAACGGCGCCCAGAACGCCAAGATATCATCCGATCTGTCGCCGCTGCTGTTGATGAGCGTTAAGGCAAAGGTAGCAATGAAGGTTGCGAGTAGATATACGGACCAGATGACCAGAAACATGAAGTTGTTCTTGGACCATCTTCTCATGGGCGCCAGCACAACCAGCACCATTTGAAAGGCAAGGCTAGCTATAACGTAAGCTTGGATTTCCCATTTGTTCATTAAGTCCCTCAGTATTCGTTGAAACTCAAACCCCATCGTCTCCATTGCTGCATATATGTGTTCTTGATGAGGTCTTATCCTTGTGATAGGACGCAACACAACCCCAACCAAGGGGTTTTAAGTTTAACTTTTGATGGAAACAACCTATTAGCTTTTTTGGTTTGAGCCAATTGAGCAATCTAAGCTAGTTTACCACAATGCAAAAGAAAAGAAAAACAAAAAAAAAAAAAAAAAAGAAAGAATATGTATAGGCAAAACAGTCAAGTCACTCAATTGTTTCTTCATTCAAACACCAAAAATAGCATAGCATGATATGCAAATATTCTTATTAAATTCCTAGCTTTGCTTAAACAATGGATGGTTTTTTGGTTGCTCTCTCCATTATATTTCCTCTACGTAACGTTATTCTCTTGTGTGATACCACCACGTACTAGTTTAATAAATTTCTAAATATTCTGCTCATTCCTATAAAATCAATACATAAGTTGAGGGACAAATTAAATTGTCATACTGCTTCCCTTAGGAGCCACTTAATCGGATGGTCGACTTGGCACAGAAGAGTTATTATTTTTTTTAATTAACTAATTTTATATATATAGTCCCATTTACGTGAGAGCACCGCACCTCTTAACGTGAAAACATGCAGGCTCCTTCAGCAATATACAACAAGTTCTTTATGAATGCACAATAAATACTTCAGTTATGTGACTACTAAATGAAAGCACCAAAACTACTACCTAAATACAAATGCTCAACTGGCACGGGCTTAGCTCAATGGTTTAGTGGGCAGTATTTGGGAGAAGAGACCAAAGTTTAAACCTCGGTAGTGGCAATGTGGGAATAATTGTATATTTTTACTTAGTTTATGTTGTTTTCACATATGTTTTTAGTTCAATGTCTCATCAATGGATACATCCAAGATTAATAACTGATCTTCATAGTATTAAAGGCACAAGCAGTCCCAGTTCGTCCTCACACAGGTACCTCTGTATGCTCCCGGTTGTCACTTCGAAGAAACGAAAATCTACATCTTGACACACTTTTTACAATATTAAAAACAACAAACAAACAAACAAACTTCAACACATGAAGCGGCTAAGGTAAAAAATTAGAGGTGATTTTAGGGAGAAAAGGTAGTAATTTTTCATCTTTAATTACTTTCTGCAATTCTGCTGCAAGTTTGAATCCTCCACCACCACCAGCAGCACCAGCTTCATCCCTGAAGGTTTCTCTGAGCCCAAAATGAACCATCAAAAGGCGGACAAACGTAAGAAGCTCTCCACCTTTGTTGAGATATTGAACGTCTTCTCTGCAATGGCTGGCTCCATACAACAGAAACCCTATCCACACATGACTCAGAATTTCCCACAATTCCTCCTCCGAACAACAATCTTCTTCATCAACATTATTATTGTCCGGTCTGTTTGGTTGGCCGATCAATTCCTCTGTTGAACCCGGATATTCAACATCCTGTTCATTCTGATTAATATTGTTTGGTCCCTCTGGATCTGGATCTTGTCTGCAGCAGCTTTTCAAATGCTTTGCAAGTTTAATAGCTTTGGACAATATGGACTTAGCATAATCATCATCACTACTACTTTTTGCACTTGGATTTTCTCTTGGATTTTCGCTGTCCTCTGTAAACTTTTGTAGCAGCAGCAGGTGTTCACAAACTTCTCTCCGCTTCTTATCTTCCCATTTCATTTTAAGTTTTTCCCACCTTGTGCGCTTCCTATTACATTGATCTGTATATAATGCCATGGCCGGAGATTAGAAATTGGATATATATATGGTGACATGATATGATGCATGTATGTATTTCAGTACAATTCACATCATAAAAATTCTAGAATTATTAGCTCTACCTGCTGTAGCATTATTATTATTGTTGTTTCTGTTGTTCCGGTTGGCGAGGTTAATGGCGGCATCCTTGAAGTCATTGAGTTTTGCAGAGGTGATGGAGTTGATGTGGTCCACCAAACGGTGTCTCCGGAATGTTGTTTTGGACAAGCCCGCCACAATTTCATTAATGGTGTCTTTAACTTCTTCCCAGCATATGTCTTTGAATCTCAATCCTATGTTTCCGGGAACTGTGGACGTGAGTTTCCCCTCCATTACCAGAAAGTACACCAAATATTCCGAAATATTTCTGCACAGTTTTTTATTATCTTTCATTTTTGTTGTTTCTTGTCCTCCGCTGAAATAGCATATCTCCGTAGCAACATGCCAAATTAACACACTATTGTCGTATTCATGATGAACCTCAGGTCGCCGTTGTTCATCACCGCCGCCTTTAGTCTCTGTTGCCTCCGCCTTGTTCTTGATGGCATGGAAAACCCGGTGGAGCAAGAGGCACTCAACCGGCTGAATTGTAGTGTACTGCCACGCATCAAGTCTCTCTCTGATGAGGCCGGAGCTGTTGATTATTCTGTCCAACGGTTGCCACCGTTTCTTAAAGGAGGAGTGGTTAATCAAGCTGTATTGTCGGATTTCTTTGGACCAACGTTTTCTGGACGAAATCCATGTATGTATAGTGTTGATGCGTTTCATTATCCTCGGGTCTCTCATGTGCCTCGAAATCCAGTTTCTCAGATTATTTCTCTCTTCTCTGGGCTTCTCCATCATTAGAGCTACAGTCCACTCAGAGCAAACCAGCTTCCATAGAGCCACCAAATCTAACACAACTGCACCGCCCAGCAAGAGATAGGTAATAGAGATGTGAAGAGAACTAGCGCCGGACTTGTTACAGAAGTAAAACGTGATGGTCACCGCTAAAAGTAAAACATGAACCACAAATCGGTATGCATATCCGAATGAACTTATCCACTGGACGGCAGCCATCTTGGTGAACATGGACTCATACATGAAGTTGAGTTCCACTTCCAGGATTTTATACGCGGTCTCATGATCTAGCGTTAGAAACACCTTCCTAACCGCCTCTAGTTTATCCTCAATGTGGATAAACGCATGATCCAAGATGAATCCTTTGAAGAGTTGGTAGTATATGTACCCCCTGTGGATGATCTCCAGTTTGTCCGGATTCGCCGGCAACGACAGCTCCTCGGATCCCTTACTTGAAGAAGAATTATTTTCGAGCATTGACCTCCTCATATGGGACACAGATGCCAGGTAAAGGGAGTGGGTCCGTTCAGCGTACTTGACAATTCCGACGAAGAAGACGATCCCGGCGGAGATGGTTAAGCAGCGGTGGCGGTAGATTTGGTAGCGGTAGAAAACAAGGAGAACGGAGAAAGTCTGAACAATGAGGGTGAGGAGTTGGCGATGCCATAAGTTGTTGTCTTCTATGTTGAAGGAGGTGATGGCGTGGGGGCCGCCCAAGTGGAGCAAGAGGAAGGGTGCCCAGAAAGCCTCCAGGAGGGAGGATTTGTTGCCGGCGGCGTCTTGGTCGTCGGAGTTGCTATTGATGAGGGCTATGCCGAAGGTAGCAAAGTAGTCGGCAAGTAAATAGGCAGACCAGATTGTGAGGTGGGTGGACCCTTTCTTTCTCCTTTTTCTCAACGGCGCAACGAATTCCAGCACGCACTGGAACCCAAGGCTAGCTACAACAATGGCATGGATGTTCCAGTTCCCCCATAACCGCTGCAGTAGCTTTTGAATTTGTTTAAGCGGAAACATCATCGTTGGCGCCGTCGTCATTGATCTCCGATCCTATACTAGGTAGAGATCCACATCAAATTTGACATCAATTATCAGCTACATGCACCAACCTAGCTAATAAAGTTGATAATTTTACCGTTAATATGTTGTTACTAGTAAATTAGACTTTTGATTCATTTGGACAGTTAAAGTGTTTAATTACACTTTTTAAAAGTTGATTAATTGTACTTTTAAATAAAGTTGAATGGTCTATTTGATCATTTTCTCAAATTTCATAATACATAAAAACAAAATCTGGAGTGTAAGAATCAAATTGCATGTTTGTCTGGACATTTTAGTCCTTATCAAGTTTTTTTTTTTTTTTTTTTTTTTTTTTTTTTTTTTTTTATTATTTAGAAAATAATTTTACAAATTATTCAAAATCCCGCCTACCTACTCGGAGCTTAGGCGGTCGACCGCCTAGAATGGTGATTCCGTCGAATTATTCTAGGCAGACGGTCACCGCCTAGCGCCTAGGCGCGATTTTTGCAACATTGGTCCTTATACTAATTCTTTTTTTATTCTTAGTAATTCTATTTATTCTTACCAAATAATGTCGTACTTTGGATTTCTATTTTTGTTGAGGTCAAGCGCGTACCACTTACGCAAAAAACTATAGCTAGTAGTGAATGCGCAACTTTATTTTCTTATAGACCGCCATAATTTTTGGCATAAATGGTAAGCGCTTGAGCTAACAAGTGGTATCAGATTCGGATTATTACGAGTTTGAGTCCAGTAATAACATTTTAAATTGGTTGGTCTCGTAAAGACCAAGTCATGTGACTAGGCAGATTGTTGTGCGTAGATTGGTAAAAGATCAAGTTTAACACCCAACCCTTTGAAAATGTGATGTTGGTTTATAAATAAAATTACACCTTCGCTACTAACTACTCTTCAAAAGTTGCGCTTTTGCTACTCGATACTAACAATTTTATTTCCACATTATTCATTTTCCACAAAAAAACATACAATTTATTTTCTCATAATTCCTTCCTTACAATCAAACGGAGGCAACACAAGATTTACTCATATCATGTATTCTTCTGATTGATTGCGCGCAGTATGTACGCATTATGGCGTCTTCAATTCATAATTAGTTTGATTTCTAATTTTTTAAAGTTTTATTGACATTTCTATACTTTTTAATACATTATCAAGAAATAAGCCAATAACAAACAAAAAAAAAAAAAAAGAAAAGTAAATTACATAAATCTAGACAAAACAATGCCCACAGCTCAATAAGGCTGTAACACGCATTAGCATGCATGCATGCATACATACATACACACACACATGCGCACACACATACACACACACACACACACACACATATATATATATATATATATATATATATATATATATATATATATATATATATATAAAATTGTGTTCGTGTGTGGTAGGCTTTCTCAAGTGCAGTTGTGCGGTTGCTTTAGGTGCTTGGTTTTCCTTCTTAAGGTGCGTAGTTTGTGTGCTTAAAGTGCGTCAGTGTTGAAACTTAATGTGCGTCGACCTAAAGTTTTAACTAGGTACGTGGTTTTCCTTCTTAAGGTGTGTGATTTATATGCTTAAGGTGCGTCATTTTAAAATTTTAGGTGCGTAATTTGTGTTCTTAAGATGCTTTGTTTGTGTGCTTAAGGTGCGTGATTTGTGTACTTAAGGTGCGTCAGCCTAAAACTTTAGGTGCGCGTGGTTTGTGTTCTTAAGGTTCTTTATTATTTGTGAGCTTAAGGTGCGTGGTTTGTGTACTTAAGGTGCGTCGGGCTAAGCTTTAGGTGCATGGTTTTTTCTTCCTAAGGTGCGTTTTTCTTTCTTAAGGTGCGTGATTTGTATGCTTAATGTGCGTCATTTTAAACCTTTATGTGCGTGATTTGTATTTTTAAAGTGCGTCTTTTTTAGTTAACCGCACAGGAAGTTATACCCGCACCTGAACCCTTTCCATATATATATATATATATATATATATATATATATATATATATATATATATATAACACAGAGACATTTATAATTTTATATACACATATAAAATGGAGTAAGCTTACCTGGTTCCTGTGTTATTGATGATGTGGTGTTACCTTTGTGTACTTTTGTTATGAATTATTACAAAGTATATATGTCTATATATATATAGAAAGGAATATAGGCAAAACAATCAAGTCACTCAACTGTGGGTTTAATTTCTTAATTCAAACGCCAAAAATAGAATGTGAATATTCCTATTCTTGCCTTTCCTTGAACAATGGTTTCTCGATCTCTCCATTTTCACAACGTTAGTTATACTCTTCTGTGCTACCACGAGTGTCACGAGTACTTCGGCGCACAGTTTATTATTCTATTTTCTTCTCATATATATATATATATATATATATATAGAAGAGCGCTCATATGCGGCGGGGTCTTACCGTGCGGCGGTGCGGTCAAATTTCAGAATACACCAACAGTGTTAATAATATGCCCCAACTGTGTAATAAAAACACACCACAATGAAATGTAATAAAACATCACAAAATACACAACAGACTCAAAAAAATACACCATATAACTCACCACCCCCAATGGTGTATTTCCGAACAGTGTATGGTGTTTTTACTCACACCTAATGGTGTGTGTTTGGTGATGCAGGGCTCTGTTTACTTTGTTTTGTGTGGTGTATTTTCCTAACGTTGATGGTGCATATTTGTTGAACTATTGGTGTTGCCGCACCGTAAGAAATAGCCGCATCGTAAGACACTGCCGCACCTGAACCCGCCTATATATATATATATATATATATATATATATATATATATATATATATATATATATATATATATATATATATATATAGGGGCGATCAAGTGCAGCCATGTTGTTAGGTGTGGTCATATGGTCAATTATAGGCCATTAGATTAGATAGATCAATGAATCACATTAATCAAAATTTTTTCAGTATTTTCGCGCACGTTCTCCTACCCAGCGAACTGCAAGGGTAAACTCGTCATAGGGTACTGAAATAGAAAAAATCACATTATTGTGTGTTTTATTTGTGTAATTGGTGCATTATTAGCCTTACTCTGGTATATTTTTAGATTCCTATTGGTGCCAAGTTCAGGTGCGCCAACGCCTTCCCGTGTGGTCAGTGCGGGCGCACCAATTGTTATACAAATATACATCATCCATGTTAATGCGTTGCTCAGCAAAAAATATAAACAAATTAGGTACGTGATGTAAGGGAAAGAGGTGGTGAGTATACGGGTGTAAATTGTCGTTCCGCAAGGGATTGGGACTATGGCACGTACTTGAGTGACAACTAAAGTTCTAGGCACCAAAGTATTGGAACCCACAAGAATCCAAGCAAATTCAAATTCATGGTTGGGTAATGTCAACAATTAAGGGCTAAAAATCTAGTTAAGACAATGCAATTTAAACACAAGCAATCACAATGATAAAAGATGGGCTCAAATTAGGGGATGTTGCCTTCTAGATGCTTTAACAACTTAGGGATTAGGGGAGAACATTAACCAAGAGAACATAAGGGCAAAGCACATAAAAATCCTAGCTTAAAGCCATTTTCATAAGCTAAAGAACAAGGATTAGAGCAAGGATTGCCCCACTTTCATGGTGTATCAATTCCTAGCTCTTGAAGCACATAAGCATTTAGGCTCCCAATTCTTCCCTATTTTCATAGAAAGAAAATGGGTTTAGAGAAAGGAGAGGCTTAAATTCTTCCCCCAACTTTCATTGTGGAGAAAAACTATCCAAAAGCAAGCTAATAAGAGTTACGTACCAAATATTAGCAAGATTAAACATAAAACCAACTCAAACAAATGAACCCTAGGTTAGGGTTCTTCCCCCTTATGCAATAATCACCTATTTAGCATCTAGGTTAGCAATATCACCCTAATCCAAGCCCAAAAACGAACTACTCACACTTCATAAGCATAAATAACAACAAAGCACAAGAAAATATCATAAACATTGCACAAAAGCTTAAGAAGAAGAGTAAGAAGCTTCTCTATTGAAGATGAAGATTTTGTGGTTGAATCTCACTCCAATCCATGATTACAAGCTTTGTAGAAGAGTTAGAGATGAAATACTAGACTAATCTAAGCTAAGGAAATGAAAGGAAAACGAGTTCTTGCTATCTAGGGTTCCCCCCTCTCTTTTTTCTCCAAAAAATGAGTTATAACGCAGTCAAAAGAAAATAGAGATGGGCTGCTCGACATTCTGCCAGGATTCGACGCGTCGAGAGTAATTCTCGACGCGTCGAGAGTAATTCTCGACGCGTCGAGTGCTGATCTGCAACAGAACTTCGACTTGCAGGCTAATTTTGACCCTTTTTTCTTCAGAATTAGGTTTCGGTGTCTTCATGAAAGTTGTAGATCTTCGAGTCTTCTTTCAAATGGCGCAAGAATCACTTAATTTGGACAATCCTAGGCCGAGATATGATCAAATTACCAAACAGTGGTCAGTTTCGGGTGAAATCTGTAAGTTCGGAACTTCAACGTCAAGGATGATTTTGACCATTGTGGCTTCCTTTTTAGGCTTTGATGTCTGAATATGAGTTGTAGCCCTTTGAGTCTTCTTTGCAATAGGACAAGAATCATGTAATTTGGATGTTTTTAGCTTGAGATATGGTCCAAGAACCATGACGTCGATGTGCAGGTCGGAAATTGCAATTGCATGGTGCTTGCTTCTCTTTTGCTTTGGTTTGCCCACATGACCAAGACCATTGAAAGAACCACCCTAGACTCCTTTGGAAGTGTTGCATCCATCTCCATAGCTTCATATTTGGCTCTCATTGACTCCAAATTCATCCAAAATACCTCAAAAATACACAATTGCCTGCACTCTACAATTTATGCATCAAAAGATATAAACAAAGGAATTAAGGCACTTCTTTGCATAAAATCAAAGTGTTTGTCACTCAAAATATGTCTATACAAGGGGTAAAAATATGGACATAAATGCACTTATCAACTCCCCCACACTTAAACATTTGCTTGTCCTCAAGCAAAGACAAGACAAATTACCATCCAAGCAATGAAATTGATCACACTCCCAACTTGCACAACTTATCAATCCACAAACCGACTTGCTACAACGCAACTTCTTTCAAGAATCATTTTAGCATCCCACACAAGTTCCATTCTCAAGCCAATAACCAAGCACCAAAATTATTAAAGTGTGTGAGGATCAAGTGTGCACAATACTAAGTTGAGATTATGCAAAACTTGGCTTTGAATGAGATTCCATAGGCTTGCCCTTCATACTCCCACTAGTTCAACTCCAAGATTGCATGCTAAGATCAAATAGGTCTTTATTAGGCTTGTAATGGGGCTAAGGGTGAATGACTAACAAAGAAGGGGTAAGGAAAATAAACAAAGGAGAGAACTTTACATTTATTCACAATTGAGGCTAGAAGAGATATGACATTTATAAGCTAAGGAGCAATTTACAATGAAACATAAAGCAACACTCTAAAGTAGTGGGGGTTGAGTACAACTTTCAACACAAACTAGAATCAAGCTTCAAACTTTTATTCTTCTTCATTTTCTCTTCATTTTTCTCATTTCATCTCTTTTTTTTTTCATGACTTTTTTTTTTTTTCTCAATTTTCTCATCATTATTTTTTTATTTTCTTTTCTTTCATTGCAAAACAATAAACGAACTTATTCCATGAACCAATACCCCCACACTTAGACAAAATTATCAAGAGGATTGCTAACAAAACAAGCTCCAATAAAGATCTCTTCAAAGAAAAAGAATAAATGCTCTATTCTCTCAAGGGTGGAGGGAAATATTTTTGCTAGGGGTTAAGGGTTAAATGATGAGGGTTAACACAAGGAAAAACAATCACAATGAAGGGACAAGTGCTTAGCACTTATTAAACAAACACAAAAGGCTCAACGGGGACAACTAGTGGTAAACACATGTGTAAATGGTAGGCTTGAAAGGCTCGGGCTAAACAAAAATGGCCTAAATCATTTCTAAACATGTAAATCTTAGACTTCACTTGGAGAGTAATGAGGCAAGTTCTAGCAAAACAACCATGACCGGAATCTCACATAAGCCTTCACTAGCAAAGCATAACACACAAGATCAAGAATTTATTCATTTATTAAGAGGTTAACAAGGAAATTGGCAAGAGAATAGATCAATCATGTGTTATACCTCAAATCATCAATCACAAATTGCATTGCAACAAGCACCACCAAATCAAACCACAAACCAACAAAGAGGGAGTGATCACAACTTCAAGCAAAGATGAGAAATTTACCCAACATTATGCACAATGACTCATCCAAGCAAGGTTTCAAAAAGTTTCAAAATTTCAAAATTTTCCAATATTTTGTCCACCCCCCCACACTTAGAAATTACATCGTCCTCGATGTAAAAGAAAATAAAGCACAAGGGAGAAATGGTAGCACAATAAGCACAAGTGAGAGCATGATATATCAAAAATAAAAGTGTAAAGAAAAATAGAGAAGAAAGTAAAGTGCTATAAAATGAAAGATAACATGGGGTGCCTCCCATGAAGCGCTACGTTTAACGTCGCTAGCTCGACTTGACCTTTGGTGTTCAAGTATATGAGGGATAGAAGAGATCCCAAACCACATTAGCCTCCTTTTCTTTGAATTCCGGCTCATTGAAGAGCTTCAACCTTTGCCCATTCACCATAAAAGGATCTCCCGACTTAGCCACAATTGAAACGGCGCCCGATGGGTAATGTTCCACTACTCGGAAAGGGCCCGACCACCTCGACTTGAGTTTACCGGGAAAAAACTTGAGTCTTGAATTATATAGTAACACTTGGTCACCCGGTTCAAAGTTCCTCCTCAAAATTCTCTTATCATGAAAGTACTTGGTCCTTTCCTTGTAGATCCTGGCATTCTCATAGGCATCCATCCGGAACTCCTCAAGCTCATTCAAATGTAACAACCTCTTCTCTCTTGCCGAGTCCTCATCCAAATTCAACCTTGAAACTGCCCAATATGCCTTGTGTTCATACTCAACCGGCAAATGACATGACTTCCCGAACACAAGTTTAAACGGGGAAACACCAATAGGAGTCTTGAATGCGGTCCTTAGGGCCC